TAACAAAACTATTTGTCAGTGTCTCTTGTTAGCCCATTAGCATATAATGCACTCAGATGTGACCTACTTCAATATTTTACCTTAATACCAGATGATTTTACTGATCAATTGAAGAGTTTTGTCAGTAAAAGAATTAACAAAACTATCTGTCAGTGTCTCTTCTTAATTAACAGCAGACTTGGACATATAGTTTTGTTAACTCATTAACTGACAGTACTTTTCCACTGTTGAGTAAAATCATCTGGCACTAGAGTAAAATACCAAATTCGGTCACATCTGGGTGCATTACAAACTAATGGCTTAACAAAAGACACTGACAAATAGTTTGGTAACTCATTATCCCATTAGCTTTCAATGCAACCAAATGTGGCCTACTTTAGAATATTTCTTCAAATGGAGATGATTTTACTCATTAGTGGAAGTGTACTCTCATATTTAATTGTACTGCAAGCTAATGGGTTAACAGGAGACACTAACAGATAGTTTTGTTAACTCGATAAGTGACAATACTCTTCAATTGGTGAGTGAAATCATCTGGTATTACAGTGAAATACTAAAGTAGGACACATCTGGGTGCATATTGCAAGTTAATGGGTTAACAAGACACACTTCAGGACAGATAGTTTTGTTAACTCGTTAACTGACAGTGCTCTACCACTAACGAGGAAAATAATCTCGATTTGCAGTGATATTCCAAAGTAGGTCACATCTTGATGCATTGCAAGCTAATCTTGTAACAAGAGACACTGACAGATAGTTTTGTTAACTTATTAACTGACAGTACTCTTCCAATGATGAGTAAAATCATCTGACATTAGACAGAGTAAAATACTAAAGTAGGTCAAATCTGGGTGCATTGCAAACTAATGGGTTAACAACAGACATGGACAGATAGTTTTGTTAACTCATTAACTGACAGTACTCTTCCACTGATGAGTAAAATCATCTGGCATTAGAGTAAAATACTAAAGTAGGTCACATCTGGGTGCATTGCAAACTAATGGGTTAACAAGAGATACTGACAAATAGTTTGGTGACTATTAACCCATCAGCTTTCAATGCAACCAGATGTGGCCTACTTTAGAATATCACTTCAAATCAAGATGATTTTATTGATTATTGGAAGGGTACTGTCAATTAATGAGTTAACAAAACTATCTGTCAGTGTCTTGGAATTGTTAACCAATTAGCTTGCAATGAAGCCAGATGTGACCTACTTTAGTAATAAATTACTCTAATACCGGATGATTTTACTCATCTGAGCTGAGCGTCACTGGTGACTGTTAGCTGAGATGTTGAAATCCTAAAGTGTGCGATGTTGTGTTCTGCGTTTTCTGGCAGGCGTGGTATTCGCGTCGGATATTCAACATGTTGAATAATTTTGTGTATGAGTGAAGATTTCCTGACAGTGTGCTCGCGTCCTGAGCTATCGGCTCAGCAGTTGGAGCAAATGCCTGCACTTGTTCTTTTCATATTTTAAATTATTTTCACAACCCAAGTGGGTGCAAAATTAATCAATATTAGTACTTGAAAACAAATTAGCGGATTTTCGCCGGATTATTCCTGATGTAAGGTGTCCTGGGCGACCCATGCATGTACTCATTTTTTCGGTGCCGTTCAGTGTTAAATGATTTCTTGACTGCTAAAGAGCAATGAATGTAATATTTCTTAACTTTAAATGTGTTTGAACCCACTCTTAATTCATTTTACGCGAGTATCATTCGCTTCAACTGCTGAGCTGATAGCTCAGGATTCGCGCACACTGTGAGGAAATGTTCACTTGTGCACAAAATTATTCCACTTTTTGAATATCCGACGTCCATAGCAGGCGTGCAAGAAAACGCAGAATACGACACCACACACTTGAAGAAACAACGCAGCTAACTGCTAACAGTCATAAGTGAGGCTCAACTCAGTTTGCTCCAGTGCATGTGCCCTGGGCTTTAGTATTTTTCCCAATACCATATGATTTTACTCATCAGTGGATAGAGTACTGTCCCTTTAATAAGTTAACAAAACTATCTGTCACTGTCTCTTGTTTCCTCATTAGCTTGCAATGCACCCAGATGTGTCCTACTTTAGCATTTTACTGTAATGCTAGATTATTTTACTCATTAGTAGAAAAATACTCTCAGTTTATGAGTTAACATTTAACAAAGCTATCTGTCAGTGTCTCTTATATTTGGTGTTATATTGTACTAAAAGAGGAAACCTAAACTAGACTAACTTTATTTTTATTGGATAGCTCTATCAGCTCTAAACTGTTCTTCCTAGAAGTCCAGTAAGGATCATCTCTTATTGATCCAGTGTTACTACAGGTGGAAACTTCAACTAAACTTACTTTATTTATATTGGATAGCTCTATCAGTTCTAAACTGTTCTTCCTAGAGGTCCAGTAAGGATCATCTCTTATTGATCCATTGTTACTACAGCAGGAAACCTTAACTAAACAAACTTTATTTATATTGGATAGCTCTATCATTTCTAAACTGTTGTTCCTAGAGGTACAGTAAGGATCATGGTACTTATCTGGTTTCCCTCTCTTTTTTTGGCATCAAAAAACAGTGTCCATGTTTGGGGTCAAACTAAAACGTGTTTGTTGATAGTAATGAAAACGCGTGTTGGGCTTCTGGGTTGGATTCCCAGAACACTGTGGGAATGAATTTCAAAAGATGGGTTCAGAATCATTACGTAATTACCTATTTCTATATTACCTATTACTGTTATGGCTGATTTCAATAGTTTTGGGGTACGTCGTGTAGAAATGAATAAAATGATATACAAATGACCTCCTCCACCCATTTCTATATTGCAGAGTGACCCGCCGTCCCTTACTCCAGTTCTTTCTCAAGCTCAGTGGTTGCCATGGCAGCTAATCAAATTCAAAAAGAACCCGGTGGCTGGTGGGGGAAACATTCAATGCTCCAAACACAATGTCTAAAGCAAATCTCTTGTGTTTTGACCCTGGTTTATCGAGCAAGAGTGCGTTAAATCGACGATGATTTTACTAAAGAAAGACTACTTTATCCTGTGCTAGACACCGAAAAATGTTCAATTACATTTCGAAATGTTTTTCTCGCATATCCAAGCGAGATTCGAGGTTTGTATATTGTGTTATATTTACAACAGCTTCATGGTACAGTAGATTGCTGAGTAATTCAGAGCGGTTACTATCGACTTAAAAGCACAGAAGTCGGAAAATCATTTTGAAAGAATCGAATTTCAATTGTGTACAGATTTGCGACAAATTTTGATACAAAACTGTTATTGTGTCATTTTTGTGTGGAGATGTGAAACTTCATATGTTAGGAATTGATAACGCTGGTAAATCAACTATTATCAATGATTTGAAAGGAGGTATTAAATTATTTAGAGCCTTTTTACGAATTTAATATGATCTTCTTACTGATGAGAGTTTGAATCATGCTGTGATGAAAAGTTTGACATGTTTTAAAATATTGGCAGATATTGATACCAGTATATTAGTATTTTACTCTGTCTAATGTCAGATGATTTTACTCATCAGTGGAAGAGTACTGTGAGTTAATGCAAGTATCTGTCAGTGCCTCTTTTTAACCTAGCTTACAATGAATGCACCCAGATGTTACCTACCTTAGTATTTTACTGTTGCATCACATGACTTTACTCATCAATTGAATGTTACAGTTAATGAGTTAACAAAACTATCTGTCAGTGTCTCTTGTTAATCCATTAACTGACAGTACTCCTCTACTGTTGAGTAAAATCATTTGGTATTACAGTAAAATACTAAAGTGGGACACATCTGGGTGCATTGCAAGCTAATTGGTTAAGAAGAGACACTGACAGATAGTTTTGTTAACTGATTAACTGGCAGTAAAATACTGAACTTGGACACATCTGGGTCACTGGGTCACTTCCAAGCTAGTGGGTTAACTAGAAACACTGACGGATAGTTTGGTTATTCATTAACTGATTTGCTTTCAATGCACCCAGATTTGTCCTGCTTTAGAATATTACTCCAAATCGAGATTATTTTACTCATTAGTGGAAGAGTACTGTCAGTCAATGAGTTAACAAAAAGTTGGCTCTATCTATATATGGGTTATCTATATATCTATCTATGGGTTAGTTCTATCAGTTCTAAACTGTTCTTCCTAGAGGTCCAGTAAGGATCATCTCTTATTGATCCAGTGTTACTACAGGAGGAAACCTAAACTAAACCAACTTTATTTCTACTGGATAGCTCTATCAGTTCTAAATTGTTCTTCCTAGAGATCCAGTAAGGATCAGCTCTGATTCATCCAGTGTTACTATATACAGAAAGAAAACTAAACTAAAGTAAACTAACTTTACTTATACTGGATACAGGATAGCTCTATCAGCTCTAAAGTGTTCTTCCTAGAGGTCCAGTGAGGAACATCTCTTTTTGATCCAACGTCACTACAGGAGGAAACCTAAACTAAACTAAACTGAGTTTATTTATATTGGATAGCTCTATCAGTTCTAAACTGTTCTTTCTGGAGGTCCTGTAAGGGTAATCTCTTATTAAAACTGTTCTTCCTAGAGGTCCAGTGAGGATCATCATATTTCTCTGGCTTTCCTCCCTTTCGGTCGGGGTCAAAAAACAGTGTCCATGTTTGGGGCCAAACTAAAACGTGTTTGTTGATAGTGATGAAAACGCGTGTTGGGCCTCTGGGTTGGATTCCCAGAACACTGTGGGAATGAATTTCAAAACATGGGTACAGAATCATTACGTAATTCCTATTTCTGTTTCGAAATTTCAAACTCTCCTTCTCAAAATTTAAATTCAAACTCTGACTATTGCATTTTTATTGCTAATTTCAATAGTTTTGGGGTACGTCGTGTAGAAATGAATAAAATGATATACAAATGACCCCCTCCACCCATTTCTATATAGCAGAGTGACCCACTGTCCCTTACTCCAGTCCTTTCCCAAGTTCAATGGTTGCCATGGCAGCTAATCAAAATTCAAAAAGAACCCGGTGGTCGGTGGGGGAAACATTGAATGCTCCAAGCACAATGTCGAAAACTAAAGCAAATATCTTGTGTTTTGACCCTGGTTTATCGAGCAAGAGTGCGTTAAATTAGTGATGATTTTACTAAAGAAAGGCTACTTTATCCCGTGCTAGACACCGTAGTATGTTCGATTATATTTCGAAATGTTTTTCTCGCATATCCAAGCGGGATTCGAGGTTTGTATATTGTTTTATATTTACATTCTATTTGAGCATAGTTTGTTAAAGATTTGTTTAAGCAAAAATTTCGGATATTTTACGGTCTTATTCACTCATTTTGCTGTGCGTGAAAACGGCTTTATAGTACAGTAGATTGCGGAGTAATTCAGAGCGGTTACACTCGTCTGAAAAGCATAGAAAATAATTTCATGAAACAATCGAATTTTAATTGTGCATAGATTTGCGACAAATTTTGATACAAAACTGCTTCGTTTTGCTTTGTTTAGAGAATTAAAATGTGTTTCTTTCGCTGATCAAAGCCGATTGAATACGATTTACCTTCTTTACCAACGGTCTATATAGTTTTAGTTGGTATTTCTTTGTGACAGTTATTTTTTAAAATTTTTGTTTTGTAGAGATGTCAAACTTCTTATGTTAGGAATTGATAACGCTGGCAAATCAACTATTATCAATGATTTGAAAGGAGGTATTAAGATATAATTTAAAGCCTTTTTATCAAAGTAATATCTTCTTTCTGATGAGAGTTTGAATCATACTGTGATGAAAAGTTTGACATATTTTAAGAGATAAGCAGATATTGATACCTATATTAGTATTTACTCTGTCTAATGTCAGATGATTTTACTCATCAGTGAAAGAGTACTGTCAGTTAATGAGTTAACAAAACTATCTGTCAGTGTCTCTTGTTAATCCATTAGCTAGCAAATTGCACCCAGATGTGGCTAACTTTAGTATTTTACTCTGTCTAATGCCAGATGATTTTACTCATCAGTGGAAGAGTACTGTCAGTTAATGCATTAACAAAACTATCTTTTAGTGTTTCTTCTTAACCCATTAGTTAGCAATGCACCCAGATGTGGCCTACTTTAGTATTTTACTCGACTGTCTAATACCAGATGATTTTACTCATCATTGGGAGAGTATACTAGCTGTCAGTTAATGAGTTAACAAAATTATCTGTCAGTGTCTCTTTTAAACCATTAGCTTACTACTGTGTCTATAATTTGGGATGGTTGTTAACAAAATATATTCATTATAGCTTTTAGAACCCACAGAGTTGACAGTTCCAACAATCGGGTTTTCCAGTGCGGAGTTCAAGTTATTGAATTTTAAAGTGACAGCTTATGATGTTGGTGGTGGACCTCGTATCCGAGGAATATGGAAAGATTATTATGCGGAGGTACATATACACATATACAAGCACAGAGGTTCTTAGTGTTTTAATTGGTATTCTTTCCTCTCGAATTCTAGGTCATTTCAATTTGATTTAAAACAGATGCTGAATATATGACATTGTAAGTAATTTAGCTTGGAGGTACATCACATAAGTACTAATTAATACTCCAAAGCTTTTGGTCCGTTAACTTGGGCCTTCATCAGTGCAAGGTTAACAGACAGAAATCTTTGCATTATTAAATACTTAAGTGGTGTACCTACAAGCTAAATTACTTATTGACTGTCACAAACAAACATACAAGAATATAAATGACATTGTGTTCTTTTTCAGATATTTGGCGTTGTTTATGTTGTTGACACAAGTGACCGTGAGAGAATAGCAGATTCCAGAACAGTTTTACGTGAAGCATTGTCTGACTCAAGACTCTCTGGGAAACCTTTTGTTGTGTGAGTATAGAAGTGATCCATTTTGAATGACGTAATTCTTTACCTTTTTACCTTACGTGGGTATGATAGTTGGTTTGTTCACAGTTTATAGATAATACATGGTTTAGAGACTAAATGAAAGCACAATACAACTCATTAATGTAACGTTTTATTGTTTAAACTGCGTATATAAACAAAAGAAGAGGTTTTACAAACAAAAGCTCGGCAACCATTTTAGTATGCTCGCCCTACAAGCTCCCTCTCCCGCATGCTCGACCCAGGCTGTCCCGGATTGGCTGAGCTACAGCAATAACGTCACATCCTCTTTCCTCTATAAAAGTTAATGTCAACTAAATATCTATATATATATACTTTAGTTACTTAAGCGATTTAACGTTAACTTCCCTAAGTGCTAGACAGTCCAGACAACTTGTTCAAGAACCCATAATAAAGTCTTTATACTGGCTTGGCAATCTAACAGTTCGCTGTGACCGTCTTAAGTTCGGTGGTTCTGGCTCCGGTTCGATGGGTGGGGTGGTTGAGTGCTCGGTTGGGTTTTCTACTGGTGGTATTGGTGTTTGTATCTCAGGACTTGGTTCATACTCATCATCACTCCGTTGGTCCCTTTGCTGATTAAATTACCTGTGCTTGGGCGCAAGTGTACTCTGTTTCTCCGAAATAATCTACCATCTTCAGTTATGATTCTGTAGGACCGCTCGCTAACTTGTTCAAGAACTTTCGCTTTATGCCATCGAATTGGCTTGGTTTCGGGGTTTAGTAATACTCGCACAATATCACCCCCGCTTCAGAGCTGGTAGTTTGGTTGCATTCCGATTGTAATACTTCTCTGTGGCGTTGTTGTCTTGTCCGCTTACTCTTAACGGTAGACATAATCTTAGGCTTTAGGAGTTTGCTAGCCGTAGGCAGAAGTGTTCTAGTGCGACGGCCAAATATTCTTTGCGCGGGCGAACTGTTCAGTCCTTCTGTTGGGGTGTTTCTCCAGATGAGTAATGCCAGTTGGTAGTCGCCGTCGGATTGTTGGGTCTTCTTTAGCAAATTCTTTGCGACTTTAACTGCGTTTTCCACTTTACCGTTACTTTGTGGATGCTTGGGGGAACTGGTAGTGTGCTTGATTTCATATTCAGCTGTAAAGGAAGAAAAATCGTTGGAGGAAAAGGGAGGGCCATTGTCACTCTGTAGTACATCAGGTATACCATGAGTTGCAAAATGTTTCTTTAATTTCTTGATGATGACTTCTCCATTCTTGCTGCTCAGTTGATCTACTTCGAAATAATCAGAATAGTAGTCTACGGTACATAAAAAATCTTTGTTGTTGTATGTGAAAATGTCCGTACCAATCTTTTCCCACGGTCGACTGGGTACTGGATGGGCCATCAGTGGTTCTTTGGGTTGGGCGCTCTGCGAGGTTGCACAAATATCACAGTGGGATATGAAACTTGTTACGTCCTTGTTCATGCCTGGCCAATAGACCACCTCTCGGGCTCGCCTTAAACAGCCCTGGATGCCAATATGCGCCGCATGGATCTTCTCCTTGATCTTTTGTCGTAAGCGCAGCGGAATGACGACTCTTTGGCCTTTGAACACCACTCCCTCATGGACCGACAATTCATCTCTTATGCTATAATATGGATGAAGGTCGCTCGGTACTTGGCTTTTCTGGTCTGGCCAACCCTTCCTGATGGTTTCCATTAATTTCTTCATTGAGGTATCGATTTCTGCTTCTTTCTGTAATTCCTCGAACTGTGATTTTGACATTGGTAAGAAATTTGCTACATGGACATGCTCGGTTTCATCTTCTGTCTTAGATCTCTCACAGGATTCAGATGGGCTCTGGACAATGTATCTGGCACATACATCTCCTTCCCTGGCTTGTAGTAAATAGCTGTGTCGTATTGTTGCAGGCGGAGTAGAAGCCTTTGCAGGCGTTGGGGGCTGTCGCTAAGGATTTCCTCGATATTGCCACGAGTGGTTTGTGGTCGTCCATAAGGTAATTTTTCTTCCATATACATACTGATGATTATGCTCGAGACCAAAGACTAAAGCCAGAAGTTCCTTTTCAATTTGAGAGTATCTGGTCTCTGCTTGGGTGAGTGCTCGGCTGGCGAATGTTACTGGTTGGCTGCTTTGTGTAAGGACGAAACCCAGTGCAGTGGAGGAGGCATCTCCCTCGCCTTGGACTGGCTCACTTGGGTTAATATTTCAGTACTATGTGTAGTTAGTAGAAACTAGCTCTTTGATCTTTTCGAATGCAGCATCCTGTTCATCTTTCCATTCTCAAGTTGGCCATGCTTTTGTGTTAATCTTCGCAGTGGTTCGCAAACAGAGGAAAGTCCATCCAAGAACTTCGATAAATACATCACCATCCCAATGAGTCGCCTAACTGCTTCGACATTTTGTGGCTTTTCCATTTTAGTGATTGCAACAATCTTAGACGGGTCAGGCTTTAATCCCTCTTGGGTTAGTGTATGTCCGATGAAGGGTACACTGGTGCACTTGAACTCAAACTTTGCAGGATTTAACTTGATTTCTCTCTCACGGCATCTTTCCAACAGATTTCTCAGATTTGCATCATGATCTTTCTCTGAGTTGGGTCCCTGGCCAATGATGAGAATATCATCTGCGATCTTATACACACCTTTCAGTCCCTCTAAGTTCTGATCAAGCTTTTGCTGAAAGTTTTCAGGGGCTGGGGCAACTCCGAAGGGCAGTCGAAGCCAGCGATAACGGCCCCAGGGTGTTTGAAAGGTTGTCAGCTCACTTGACTCATCATCAAGTTCAATTTGTAGAAAACCGTCCTTCGTTTTCAGGTCAACTTTACTGAAAACTCGAGCATTGGCTAACTCTGGAAGAACTTCTTCAATTACCGGCAGGGGGTAGTGCGCTCGTTTCAGTACCTTGTTAAGGTGCTGGGGGTCGATACAGACTCTGACTTGACCATTAGCCTTCTCAGTGACAACTAAACTAGATACCCACTTGGTTGGTGCTTCTTGCTTTGTAAGCACTCCCATCATTTCGAGTCGATCCAACTCTGCTTTCAGCTTTTCTTTTACTGCAATGGGCACTCTCCGTGGGGCCTGTGATGTTAATTAGGTATAATTAGATATGCAGGTATAGGTATAATTAGATATGCAATCTTGGATGTATATAAATAAGAGGCATTTTATAATACAACTGCTCAGTGTTTGAATCCGTGTGCATCTGTGTCTTGTTCGAATGGCTAGACACTACATTTGGCGACGAGGATTTTGTTTAAAGCCTGAAGTATAAATATATTTGATTATTATGGCGAAAAGCCTAGGAGTAAGTGGAGTGATGCCGTTTGATTGTACTGGCGATATGACGAGTGTAGGACCAAGATGGCGGCGGTGGAAAACAGCATTTCAGTTCTATATTGATGGCAAAGGAATTACTGATCCGAGGCAAAAGAAAGCTTTGTTACTCCATTCAGCAGGAATGGATGTTCAAGAAGTATATTCAACTTTAGAAGAACCGGCTAGTGGGAGTAAAGACGAAACAGATGAGTATGGAAAAGCTATGAAAACTCTAGACTCTCATTTTACACCTCAGATCAATGTGCCGTTTGAGCGACATGAATTTCGACAAATGTTCCAAGGGAATCTGAGACAGTCGATCAATTGTTATTCGATTGACCCGCCAAAGTGATAATTGTGAATTTGGAGAGTACAAGAAAGAACATATTCGGATCAGGTCATTGACAAATGTAGATCAACTAAACTTAGAAGGAAGTTGTTAGAAATGGGCAAGACTTTAACATTAGATGATATACAGACAGTTGCAAGGTCGATGGAAGCAAGTGAAATGCAAGCTAGACGAATGGAGAGTGATCGGCGTAGGGAAGTTAACACTATGGGAGCGCAGAGGATGGAAAGGGAAAAAGGGCGAGAATATTAAAAATAGTAAGCAAGGTCAAAAGTGTTACCGATGTGGTAGAAATGGACATTTTGCTCGAGATAAAAACTGCCCAGCTGTGGGTAAAGCCTGTAAGAAGTGCAACAAAATAGGACATTTTGCTGTTGTTTGTAGGACACAGTCCAACCGAGGAAATGGGCAGCAGAGCAAGCATCCTGGTGTCAAACAAATTTTGACGGAGGTGAAAAGTAAAATTAATGATCAGATCAACGATGATGATGAATATGCTTTTGCAGTGGGGACAAAAGATAAACGTAAGGTGAATGGAAGTGTTTTTTTTGACCTGGTTGTTGGTGGGGCAAATATAAGAAACATAATGATTGATTCGGGTGCGTCCTGTAATGTTGTTGATAAACGGACATGGGAAGACTTGAAAAAGCAAGGCATTAAATGTGAGTCGAGAAAGGAAAGTCCTATTCCATATGGGTCAACAGTGCCACTTGATACTCTGCGTGGCGTGTTCAAGTCTAAAGTTCAATGTAATGGTGGACAAGCCGAAGCTGAATTTATTGTCATCGCTGGTACAGGGCAAACTCTTCTTGGGCGAGAGACGGCGGTACAACTGGGTATTTTGAGACTTGGACCACAAGCTAATGTTGTGCTATCTTTAGTGGCAGACCAGTTTCCAGAATGTTTTCAAGGTTGGGGAAAATTAAAGAATTATCAAGCTAAAATTCATATAAACCCTGATGTCAGACCTGTGGCGCAAAGTCCGAGACGAATTCCTTTCAGTCTGAGATCCAAAGTGGAGGCGAAAGTCAATGAACTTCTCGAGTTAGATGTGATTGAAAGGGTGAATGGTCCGACACCATGGGTGAGTCCAGTATGCGTAGTGCCCAAGCCTAATGGTGATGTTAGGTTATGTGTTGATATGAGGAAAGCCAACGAAGCCGTGGTTAGAGAGAGACATCCAATTCCCACAGTGGATGAAATTCTTCAAGATATGAACGAGAGTGCCGTGTTTAGCAAGTTGGATTTAAGATGGGGTTACCATCAGGTTGAACTTGATGAGGATTCTCGAGAGATAACTACTTTTGCTACACATACGGGCCTTTATCGTTATAAAAGGTTGATGTTCGGGATCACGTCAGCACCGGAGTTATACCAGCATATCATCCAGCAGGTGCTTCAAGGATGCAAGGGGGTACACAATATTTCCGATGACATTATTGTCCACGGTCGGAGCTTGGCAGAGCATGACGAGAGATTAAGTAAAGTTTTGGAATGCCTACGAGAGAAGGGACTTACCCTGAATCCAGAAAAGTGTCAGTTTCGAATTTCCCGGATTGTATTTATGGGTCATGTTCTTTCGGAGAAAGGAATTGCTCCTACAGAAGATAAAGTAAAGGCAGTTCTTGAAACAAGGGAACCAACATCTGCATCAGAAGTGAGAAGTTTCTTGGGATTGGTGACCTTCTGTTCTCGGTTTATTCCTGAGCTTGCGACAACAGCTGAGCCATTAAGAAGAGTGACAAGAAAGAATATAACCTTTTTGTGGGGCGAAGAGCAGAAGAGAGCGTTTCAGCAAGTAAAAGAAAAACTAGGAAATGCTGAGACATTGGCTTATTTCGATAAGAATGCTGTTACACAGGTCATAACAGATGCAAGTCCAGTTGGGCTCGGAGCTGTTCTCATTCAGGAACAAAAAGGGAAGTATCGAGTCATCGCCTATGCAAGTAGAAGTCTATCAGACGTAGAGCGTAGGTATTCACAGACGGAAAAGGAAGCGTTAGCCATTGTTTGGGCGTGTGAACGTTTTCATTTATATCTTTATGGGATTTCGTTTGAGGTTTTGACTGATCATAAGCCGCTCGAGGTGATCTATTCGAATCATTCACGACCGTCAGCTAGAATAGAACGATGGGTATTGAGACTTCAACCATATGAGTTTACAGTGAAGTATGTCCCCGGCCCACAAAATATCGCTGATTCATTATCTCGGTTAGTCCAGAATACGAAGGAAACGTCGCGGAATGTTGCTGAAGAGTATGTTCGTAACGTTGCATTGTACGCTGTTCCAATAGCAGTGCCTATCAAGGAAATGGAGAAGGAATCTAGGGATGACGAGGAGTTAACGCAAATCAGACAATGTATTCAAAACGAGGAGTGGAATTCCAGCCCGCCAGCGTATAAAGCGGTACGGACAGAGTTGTGCGTAGTTGGAAACCTAGTGTTACGAGGTGTCAGAATCGTAGTTCCTCGTAAGTTACGAAAGCGAGTTCTTGACCTGGCTCATGAAGGACACCAAGGTATCGTAAAGTCGAAACAGCGATTGCGTTCAAAGGTGTGGTGGCCTGGTATTGATGGGGAAATGGAGCGTAAATGTAAGACGTGTCCTGGATGCCAACTCGTAAGTAGTCCGTGTTTCCCAGAACCATTGAAGAGAACTAAGTTACCTGAGAGACCCTGGCAAATGTTAGCGGTAGATCTTTTGGGACCGTTGCCCTCGGGACATTATTTGTTGGTGCTCGTCGATTATTTTAGTAGATTTGTGGAAGTAGCCATTATGAAGTCAGTGACGTCACAACTGATCGTTCTTGAACTGGAAAAGTTTTTCGCAGTTCATGGTAATCCCGAGTCCCTGAGAACAGACAATGGACCACAATTCATTTCGGAGGAGTTTGGGGCGTTTTTAAAAGAGAATGACATTTTCCATTTAACGTCAACTCCGCTTTGGCCGCAAGCGAACGGTGAAATTGAAAGACAAAATAGATCCTTAATTAAAGCTCTGAAAATTGCCCAAATCGAAAAGAAAGATTGGCAAAGAGAATTGTATAAATTTTTGCTAGCCTATCGAAGTACGCCACACTCTACGACTGGTGTTAGTCCTGCAAAGTTGTTATTTGGGCGAGAAGTCCGAACTAAACTACCAGAGTTGCGTGAAGAAAGCGCGAGACCAGAGTTGGTTGAAGTGCAGGATCGAGACAGTGAGTTGAAACAGAAAGGTGCAGATTATGCGGATATGCGTAGGAGAGCTCAAAAATGTGGCATACAAGCAGGCGATAAAGTCCTTGTAAAAGGAAAGAAGAAAGACAAATTGTCACCCACATTTTGTGGAACACCATTAGAAGTTGTGGATAAAAGTGGAAACGAAGTAGTAGTTAAATCTTCAACAGGAGTTCAGTATAGAAGGAATGTAACTCATGTGAAGAAATTTGAAGTGGAATCATCTGACGTAGAAGAGGATGTGCAAAATCAAGAAAATGTACAGGAACAGGAAGCTGAGGAAGAAGCAGAGAGAAGGTCTCAAGAGAACAGTAAGGAAAGTAGTGTAAATATTTCTAATAGACCTAATAGACCTCAGAGGGTATGTCGTGCACCTGAACGGTTTAAGGATTACGTATGTTCATATGTTAGTTATAGTTCTGGATAGTTCGATATTAGTTATGATATTGGTTGTATAAATTAGATAAGTAATGCATGAAGTCAGTGCGATAATTCAATTTAGGTACTTAAGCATATTAAAAAGTTACATGTAGGTATGTAGATAAACTTTTGGAAAAAACCGTTGGAAAAAAAAAACAGTATATTATTTATTAGTTTTATTACGTAAATATGGACAATTAGAATATTGAGAAAAGAAGGGATTGTGATGTTAATTAGGTATAATTAGATATGCAGGTATAGGTATAATTAGATATGCAATCTTGGATGTATATAAATAAGAGGCATTTTATAATACAACTGCTCAGTGTTTGAATCCGTGTGCATCTGTGTCTTGTTCGAATGGCTAGACACTACAGGGCCATGACAACAGGTTTGGCCGATTCATCAACTAAAAAATGCAATTTGCCATCCATCTTTCCCAGGCCATTGAAAACATCAGAATACTCGCTTAGTATTTCTTGCTTAGTCAGATTATGTTCAGTAGGCAATTTGGCAACATCTTCTGTGCTTACATGTAAAATATTCTGTTTTTGAACAACAATCAAGTTCATTTGCTGAGCAGCCTTGGCTCCTATGATTGGTGTATAATTTCCCTCAATGATCACAAATTCTGCTCGATACTTCTTACTGTTCTTAAGATTGCGAAAACTTACTTTTGCTGTTCCCAAGGTTGTCATTTTGATCTTGGAGTACATGATGAGCTCTTTAGTTTTCTTTTGGATCTCTGTGTTTGGTGGTAAAAGGTGTTTTGGGAGGATATTGCAAGTAGCACCAGAGTCAACTTGCATTTTAACTGGCTTCCCGCTGATCTCCATGGTTGCATAAATCTTCTTGTCAAAGTTGGCATTTCCACTTTTGGTGTTGTCACCAGCAGAAACAGTAAACAATTCCTCTTCTGAGCTGTCACTAAGATTATTCACGTTTCTGTGGTCAACAAGTGGCTTGCTTCTACATTTGGCAGCAAAATGATTCTGCTTGCCACACCTGGAACAGATTTTACCGAATGCAGGGCATTTCTCTTTGATATTCTCGTGCTGTTTACCACAATACTTGCAGCCTTTCCCATCTCTAGTTTTCCTGGAATCCCATTTGTTTGCTTTATGTTGATTTTGAGTATCGGTTTTGTAGACGCTATCATTTGGTGATTCTGCCCCTTGGACGTTAGCTATATCCTTGAGTTGATTTTTCGTCGCTTCTGCTGCTCGACACACATCAACGTATCTCTCCAGAGTTAGCTTAGATTCTTGCAGCAACTTCCGCCGCACGCCATTATCACGAATTCCGCAGACAATTCTGTCGCGAATTAAATCGTCTTTTAAACTTTGAAATTCGCATGTCTCTACTAAGGAGCGTAGACTTGTTACATATTCATCAATAGTTTCATTCTGCTCTTGGGCTCGGTTGTTGAATTTATATCTCTCATAAATGACATTGGTCTTACCGAGACAATAATCGTCCCAAAGCTTCATCACTGTAGTGATATCATTTTTCTCCTCGTCGCTTGCAAACGGCAATCCCATATGTATTTGGAGTGCTTCGGATCCAATACATGTTATAAATGTTGCTACTCTATAAGAACTGTCTCTCTTGGCTAAATCAGTGACAGTTTCGTACGCTTTCCATACCTGTTTCCACTGTTTCCAATTCTTTGCAAGGTTTCCTTTCACGCTCAGATTGTGCGGAAGTGGCACATTGGACATAAACATCTGACAACTTTGTACTTGTGGCTGTGTTGTTGCAATGTTTTGTTCAGCAATCTCATCATGATTGGCCTCCTCGGGACCCGACATTCTAAAATTCGGTTTACTCCTGACACCATGTAACGTTTTATTGTTTAAACTGCGTATATAAACAAAAGAAAAGGTTTTACAAACAAAAGCTCGGCAACCATTTTAGTATGCTCGCCCTACAAGCTCCCTCTCCCGCATGCTCGACCCAGGCTGTCCCGGATTGGCTGAGCTACAGCAATAACGTCACAATTAACTATGTTATTGTCCAGGTTTATGCCAAAAATGGTTCCTTTCTCGTCACATGTTTATTGTATTTTAGCAAAAATTACCAATGGCATTCATCTTGCTGTAAAGTTCATCAACCTTGACTTGAAAAATATGTTATTTATAAGATTACTATTGGTTTATCTGTGCAAAATACAATAGACATGTGATGAGAATGGAACAACTGATGTAATTATAATTTTATACTAGTTAATTGCCTTTCATAATTCCCTAATAATTACCCGATACCTAAATTTACACCCTGGCAGGTTCATCCATCAGCCTAGCTGATAAAGGGATATGCCTCTGGCAGAGGGCCTGCCTCATGGCCCTCAGTAAATCTATTCCTGATCCGATACTGAGTTAGTATAATATATATAAACATTGTACCTTTATGTTTTAATATACAGGTTTCCGAATAAACAAGACATTGATGGAGCAATGTCTGAACAAGATATTGATATGGAATTTGAGTTAGAGCAGTTGGCAAAGAAATGCGAAAGTCATTATAAAGTTGTAAGTAAAAATAACTAAATTCTACTGCATGTTCAATATATGTTATTGACTGAGCGAGAGGTCCGTACAGGAGGATACTGGTCGAGTTCTTTTTTTGTTTGTATGGATCGAGCCTTTAGGCGAGGTCTATACAAGCAAAAAAAGAACAAGACCAGTATCCTCCTGTTCAGACCGAACAAGCTCAGTCAATAAACTATTTATTATATGACTAAAAACGATTGAAATTCCCAACTAAAAAATCTCCGCTGAACCTTGCCGGTCCGTACTGTTGGTTACCGAACGATCAGGAACCAATCAGAATGCTTGATTTTAGTTGATGTACCAATGAACTATTCTAGTCATATAATAATATGTCTTATTGATGAAAGAAACATAAAGTAAACTAAACTGTTCTTCCTGGAGGTCCAGTAAGGATGATCTATTATTGACCCAGTGTTAATTACAGAAGGAAACCTAAACTAAGGAAACCTTATTTATACTGGATAGCTCTATCAGCTAGTTCTAAACTGTTCTTCTTAGAGGTCCAGTAAGGATCATCTCTTATTGATCCAGTGTTACTACAAGAGGAAACTTTAATTAAACTAACTTTATTTATGCTGGATGGCTCTATCAGTTCTAAACTGTTCTTCCTAGAGGTCCAGTAAGGATCATTTTTTATTGATCCAATTTTACTACGGGAGGAAACTTAAACTAAACTATTAACTTTATTTATACTGGATAGATCTATCAGATCGAAACTGTTCTTCCTAGAGGTCCAGTAAGGATCATCTCTCATTGACCCAGTGTTACTACAGTGAGGAAACCTAAACTAAACTAACTTTATTTATACTGGATAGCTCTATCTGTTCTAAACTGTTTTTCCTAGAGGTACAGTAAGCCGGATTATTGATATTGATTTATGCTGAAATATAACTCTATGAAACTGTCTCCTGTCTTAATATCCAAATCCCAATTGTAAAATGAATTAACTGAAATATTTTTTCAGTTCCAGTGCACAGCTTTACTCAATGAGGGTCGAAAAATTGACAGTCAGCTGAAGAAAGGTTTCTTTTTAGAATTTGTAGAACAAAATGCTGCAGACCATAATATATGAATGTGAAATATATTTAAGAATTAAAAAACGAGTCGCGTGCCTTTATGGTGTAATAATGCAGGATGGGGGACTTATTCGCCGTTTAAGGTAAACGGGCTTGATACAACGGGCCCCAGGGATTATATTGCTCCAGCTCAGATACAGAGTTCATTTGCTATATTAAGGCATTCAACATAATTATATCCTATTCATTTGAATAGGTATAGCCAGGCCCAAGCACCACCGCGCGCTTGCCTTCTTTCCGCTTACCTCTATATAATAACTGAATGAAACGTTATATATTTTACCATGATTTTAGTATTAATGCGCCTGGGTACGAGGCTGACCTAGGCTTGGTTATTTTATACCCGTGGTTGGATTTTGATACACATGTACATACATGTAACTGTTATGTTTGAAAGGTTTAATATCTAATTTTAAGGTTTAAGATGGTTGTTACAAACTATGAATGAGGATTTTGCATCTTTGAAGGAGCGAGTTGAGAAAGATGTTGAGATTCAGGTATGTTGGTCTGAAGTTGCCATCGCAACTGATTTTGTGTGTGTCAGGTTTTTCAAGTAAACTGAAATAAGACTAGAACGCTCACTCTCTGACTTTCCTTCAGAGTGAAGCCAAGATGGTGGAACATGAAATCTTTCTTGTCGGTATGATCCAGGCCACTTGCGCGGAAATTTCAAAGGTAAAATTATAATTGCCGCCATTTTACCTATGCCAAATTTCCGCGTGGAGGCCTGGATGGTACCTACAAGAAAGGCTTCAGTAATCAGTATCCGCCATCTTTGATTTGATCCATCCAGTTTGGATTTTTAGTTCAGTTTCACCCTGTCCATTGCCAGTTACAAATCAGTGTTTGCATAATCAGTGTTTGCATTTGAGATCAGTCAGTAACTATTTAGGTGCATTTGTGATCGATTTTGTGTCAGCGTTTTCTCGCAACAGTTTGTTTCTCACTCGGAAAGAATGCGTTTTACATAGAACGTTGCTTGTTTTTAATTTAGAAAGAGGCTGAGAAGAAGACGAAGGCTGAGCGCTTGGAAAGGGTTAGAAAAAATCGGGAAGAAAGGTTAGTGAAAAGTTTGTCATCTGACGGATATATGCATTGTAAACAAACTGGTTTAAGATCAGTGAACTCTGGCAATGTTTAACCTGCGATATTTGCTGCGGTTTTCTCCTTTTGACAGATGTGAACAAGTGAATTAGTAACGGATGTTCACGTAAGAGCTCTTTTGTAACTAGTCACTCGTTCACATCTACCAAAATTAGTAGGAAATCGCACACAAAATCCCACCTAAAAATGCAAGTGAAAACGGGCCTTAAGGACGAAAAATAAAGAGTAGAATACTGCAGCAAGACAACAATCACACATAGTTTTGTTAACTCGCTACCTGGCAGCACTCTTCCACTGGGGTCGATTGTATAAAACTCTTTAACTACATTTTGCATAATTGAATCCTATAGTGAACTCAGAAATAAAACTCTGTTTGGCCAATTCTGTCCTTCAACTACAGTTAAAAGTTAACTAGTCTTTTATACAACTGGGGCCGGTTGTATAAAACTCTTTAACTACATAGTTAAATCCTAGTTAACTCAGAAATTACCGACTCTGTTTGGCCAATTCTGTTCTTATCTGCAGCTAAAAGTTAACAAGTCTTTTATAAATTTATAGCCCCAGGCCCCTGATGAGTAAACTCATCTTGTATTGTTACGCAAGGCTTCATAGTGATTGAGATACGCATATAAAAATAGCTATAAAAATAGAAGTAGCAAGAGCATGACAGGGATTAGTGATTAAGTTTTGCCACAAGACGCCTGAGTAAATATAAATTCGGCCCATTCGCAACTATTAATCACATTTCCTTTCATGCATGACATTTCGTGGGATTGAATTAAGTAGTAAGGTGAAAATATCAATCATCCTGTCAAAACGTGTGCATCTGGATCAACAGTCGTATGTCGTTGCCAAGTTTAACTGTCATAATTGAAAATATGCATGCTCGAGGCAGCTGCGAAGCTCTTATGTCAATCAAATGTGTTTTTTATAATGCGCGGTCGAGCATTTTAAGAGTTACGTCACAAGAAACTTAAGTCGATTAAAAGTTGTAGTAAATGTAGTTAAGTTATAAAATAAGTTTCACAGAAACAATGTTTGATAGTTTTAATGCATGTTGATGATAAATATTTTAAGTTGTGAACAAGTTTTAGTATTGATCGATTGAGCGAAAGACCAACTCGACCACTGCGTCAACGCCTTAAATAAACAAAATATGAGAGCTGGAGCGAGCTTCTAAGACCAACCCACTGATTACATGTACAACGCTGATTGGCTGGATAAGGATCAGCCCACTATGGTTGATGACGTATGCAAGAGTCACTGAACCCTCATTATAAAAGGGCGTGCACAACACCCCAACCTTCAGTGGACTAGCGGAGTAAAGATTAAGTTATGAAACGCTAGAAAACTCAACGACAGAACTGACGAAGAAGACAAGAACAATTTAAACGACGATCAAGATCAAAATTTAAAGAAGAGAACATTAGCGAACTTTAGTTAAAACCATTGTAAAGATCTCCTACCTCGCGTATCAATTAAAGAATTTTATAACAGTATTATACAGAGTAAAGTGCCAAATGGGAGTGCATTGCAAGCTAATGGGTTAACAAGAGACTGATGGATAGTTTTGTCAACTCTTTAACTGACATTACTCTTCCACTGATGAAAAACGACGTTTCCTCGCGAGGTTGATAATTTATCATTGTCATGTATGTTCGCGTTCTAGGGCCGGTTGTATCAAGGCCGTTTAGCTTAAGGTGGCTCGATACAGTTTCTCGAATTTTTTGGGGGCTCATTTTAAACAGGGATATTAAGCACCTAAATATTTCACTATAAGGCTGAAGGTTAATATACTTTGCAGGAAACATATATAGAGCGGAAAAATTCTCAGAACCTTTGCCGGGCACCCGTTACCATGGAAACAGAGACGTTTCAAAATGGCCGCCAAACAAAGTTTTATCGTGTTTATATCACAAACGAGTTCGGTGACCCCCAATTTTTTTTTCATTAAACGTTTATGCTATAAATTATTTATCTATGAAAAAGTTTTAAAAAAATTCTAACATGGGGGAATTTTTTAATAAGCAAAAATAACGTTTTTGTAAATAGAAAAAATTCCCCATGTTAGAATTTTTTCAAAACTTTTTTATAGATAAAGCATTTATGGCGTAAACGTTCAATGAAAAAAAAATTGGGGGTCACCGAACTCGTTTGTGATATAAACACGATTAAACCCTGTTTGGCGGCCATTTTGCAACGTCTCTGTTGCCATGGTAACGGTTGCCAGGCAAAGGTTCTGAGAATATTTTCGCTCTAGATATGTCTCCTGCAATGTGTATTAACTTTTAGCCTTAGTGAAATATTAGTTGCTTAATATCCCTGTTTAAAAAGTGCATCTAAAAATTTCGAAAAATTGTATCGAGCCACCTTAAACGGTGGATAAGTTCAAAATAGAAAGCAAGTCTATTGTTGTATTCAACAATCAAACGAAATGTTTTTTACCTTAATGCAAAAATACTGTCTACCACTACATATTCTGTGCATAATATTCAAGTTGACTCATTCAAGAGAGATGTAAGAGTGTTATATAATTTTGACTTATCCACCCTTTAAGCTAAACGGGCTTCATACAACCGACCTCTGGGGCCGGTTGTATGAAAGCCGGATAGCGCTATCCATCGGATAGTGATTTTTTCAACCGTTCTAAAAATGCTTGAAAAGCTATAAAATCTCAGCTTTGGAACTAAATATTATTAAAGAGGATTCTCGACTTGGACTACTAAGATTTAATCAAAGTTATACCTAACAACAGGTGATTTTGAAGCGATTGAAAAAACCACTATCCGGTGTTAGCGTTATCCGGCTTTCATACAACCGGCCCCAGATTAATAGTGTCCAATAATTGACTTTCAATATATTTCAAATATTGACTTAAAGAATGACGTTTTCAAAATAAAATAGACTTCTTAAATATATTTTTCTTTTAATTTTTAACCAGTATACAAGTTGACGCGGCCGATAGCAAAATTAAATAAAATATGAAAGCTCGACTTTTATAACATACATGCGATAAAATAACTCTAAATATCTTTTCAAAATAGCCATCGTTTTCTAGAAAGCATTTATAAAATACATTTTCATTGCTAACGTCTCGCTGTTTACCTGCCAACGTCTTTAAAACGGTATTTAGAAAGGTTCAAATATATTAGAATCAAAACAAAATTACTGCGAAAATGAAATTCGCAAATACTAAAGGTCCTGTTACACGGTGCAATGCTTCTTGCAACTTACAATGCAATTCTACTTTTAAGAGATGTAAATTTGGCAACTACGAAACTTTTATGTTTATTACACTCCATGTACGTTTCTTTCACTTACATTTTGAAAACTCTGTACTAATTTACATCTCTTAAAACTAGTATTGCATTGCAAGTTGCAAGTGCGAGTCATATTTTAATAATTCATTACTGATATTAAAGTTTTCTTAAATAAACAAAGCACTTGGAAAGCGGTCGTTAAGGCGAATAACAACCGGGTTGTGCTCACATAATTATGTCTTTCTTTTGAAAATTCTGATATTTTTCTTCTGAATATCTCGATGCCAGTCGATAGCATTCTCGCCGGGTACAACCCTGCCTTTCTGCCTGTATATATCGTGTGTTTAACTGGAGCGATATCCCAAGTTCTGCTTCTCGTTTGTCTCATAAAAGATCCTTTGAAATGCTTTCGGAACTCGTCGACATATCTCGTTGGAAATCTAGCGGTTTGCGATTTGGTGGTTTTACTGCAGGTGACTTTTGGAACATTCTCTTCGCTGAAACCGCTCTTGCGTCTAATGTCTTACACGTTTTTCTACGGGTCGATTTTGACAATCCTTTCCTTATCCTTGGATCGTTACAGGATGGTCGCTCACCTATTTAAGCACCGTTTTTTGATGACCGGGAAGAAAGCTGCCGTTTGGATTATAGCGATTTGGCTCTTAAGCGTGGCGATCCCTTTGTATTTCGTTATTGCAACGAGACCAAACGAGGAATATATTGCGTATAAATACGGGATTTTAACTGGAATCATCGTGATGATTGTAATCATGTATTTTCTGGCTTGTTTGGCCTTGAAACGGCAAGTTAAAACACTCCAAGGCACCAACGAAGCGAGGTATGGTCATAGGCTTCGTGTAGCGAGTGAAGAAAGGTTTATGCGAACTGTGATTCTCATTACAGTTATTGCCGTTGGGTGTCTCACTCCAGTTGCCATCTACGGTCAGGTTGTTACCGATCAGATTTCGAAAAATGGGTTGAACTATGTTTACGGTTCATTGATGACATTGTTGTGTCTAAATTTCGCCATAAACCCTCTCATCTATTTCATACGACTGAAAAACTATCGCAAAACGATATTGCTTGTGTTTCGCTGTGAAAATTAGGAGTTTCGTTTGTGGCGTTTTGCGAAGCAGAAAGTTTATTCATTCGTTCAAGGCCTATTGAAAATCTTCATGCAGTCTTTGAAATTTTTACTGTCTGGACTAACAGAATGAGTTGTTTTAATGTTGTGTATGATTCCACTCGAAATTAAAACCTTTAAAAACCTTTAGAATTTACCTACATCGAGTAAAGCGCCACAAAATCGTAATTGATTACCCTAGCTCACCTATACTCGTCATTACCGCCTTAAAATACACATTAACACTAAAGTGAAGTGAAGTGAAGTGAACATAGAAGTAATGTATAGACCTACTCTGTTCTTATCTTACATTTGTAATTTATCTTGCATATACTAGTTGTAAGATTTCTTATTTAACATAACGTGTTAAGCGCTGTTGATCTGTCATTGTAAATAGGGCTATATAAGTGTTGAATTATTAAATCATATTATTATTATTGACCCATATACATATATATTTCAAGCTATATTCGTTTTTATTCTGACAGAGTCAGATTCAATATGAGTCGAATATATCACGCTTCATTTCCGATTCATCACTAAGTGTTTTAATAGAAAAATTTCAGTTCAATACATATTTATATAATGCATTCAGGAAATTGCATGAAACTCGGGCTTATTGATAAAAAAACACCGCTCAATTATTAAACTGTGTTTATGAACTAGAAAAAGCTGCACGATTTGAAATAATAATGATATATATCCAAAATATTGTCATATCTGGTTTAATTTCATCGAAGTGGCTCTATCGCGCGTGCAATATGCCGGCTCTCTCAGAGGAAACTGATATAAGATACCTGCCAATATTCGTCGTTTGTTCCTTCGGGGCTCTTGCGAATGCTATGCTGTTGATAGTCCTTGTCAAAGATCCCTTGAAATGCTTCAGAAATTCAGCGACATATCTCATCGGAAACTTGGCGTTATCTGATCTGATGTACAATTGTGCCTTGATCCCATATGTGTATAAAGTTACCTCTGATGAAAAATTTTTGCTGTTACAATATTTTTCATTTTATTTATCAATGGGATCTATATTTTCCATTGCGCTCGATCGATATTTCATGGTCTGTCACCCTTTTAAACACCGTTTCTTTATGAGTAGTTACAAAATGGTTGTATGGATTGGCATGGTGTGGGTTCTAAGTTCTGTGCATCCAGTGAAGGTGAATTTTGAATTGAACAAAATGGACGGAAGGATAAAACCCTTCGTTGGTTTGGTATTAATCATACTGACGGCTGTATTTTATGGAAAAACCTATTATACTTTGAAGAAACAAGCGAAGTCTATGTTAGGAAAAAGATCTGCCTTTTCTCCAGAGCGGATTGAGGTTGTATCCAACAGAAGTATGTCGACTGACGGCGAGAATTGCACCACCATCGCTGGCTTTAGTGAAAATTCATGTTTAAATAGAAAAGAAAATTCGTTTACCATAACTGAACAAGTCAAAAATCCGAATGACACTGTTTGCAGTCGAGATTTTGGCCAATTTCAGAGCACGAATAACCGTGCCGAAAATGAAGATTATCGTGCTTGCGATTCACATGAGCGTGCTCAAAACGGGATTGAACGTGACAAAAGTCGTTCTAAACGTGCTCGAGGTCAAGATGAACCCGTCAAATGCCTAAATGAACGTGGTGAAAACCATAATGAACGTGCTGAGACTCAAGATAAACGTTTCCAAATTCAAGAGGAACGTGTTGAGAATAATATTAATCGTGCTGGAAGTAAAAACGATAATTGTGATATTTCTACCAGAGCTACGACGAGCATGACAACAAAATCAATCACAAAACAACGCAAATCTCCCCAAAACATGAACAATTTTAAGGAACAGAAGTTTTTAAACACCATAATTATCATCGCGTTTGTAGCCGTGATTACTGTGGTCCCGGCAACGATTGTATTTCAGTGTTGTCCACAATTAAATAGTTCATTTCCAAAGATCCTCGTCGTGACGATATTCTCCGTCAATTTTGCTGCCAATCCCGTCCTCTATTTTTGGCGTTTGGAGCGATATAGAAAATCGTTTAAACTGGTGTTTGGATGTAAAACTTAGAAGCTTTGAATGTTTTTAAATTGTTTTTAGAAACTACAAAGTAGACGATCTCGATTACTAATGAAAATTACGAAGTTAGTAGCGAAAATGGGTTAAAAAATTGCGCTATCAAAGAGAAAACTATTAAATAACGTTAAAAAGTTTAGTTTTTCTTCTGAATACGCATTCTGCAATATTTTGACAGCTCATCAAACACATCTGACAGCTGTGAAATGGCCATTTTGAGGCTTAAAGTATACACAAGGTTATTAATTCAAACGATTCGTTTTTGCCGTGTACAAGCTTCAAATCTTTCGTGCCAGACATATTTATATTGAGTATTTATAAATTTTTTTCTCACGAAGTTTAAAGCCGACGTATTAAGAATTGCATCTAAGGCTTACGAACTTCCGCGGTGTCGGACGCTGTAAAATATAGTAAATCAATCGCTTTTTAAAAATTTCACTTTTGGCCATATGGCTAGAACATATTTCTGTCACAATGATTGATAATCGTAGTCTAAACTATTTAATTAATGTCGTTAACACTGGTGGTGTTAATTTTACGCTATAAAAATAACAAAGATCTCGAGACATTAAGTTGATGAATATGCATGGCTTCATTATCTGGTATATTTAGGAAGAAATGTATTCTCACCATGAATGAGTTATTCTTTGCAATGTAAAAAATCAACGTGACTCTAATATTTAGTATCTACTACATATTAATAATTAATCAATATAAGTGTTTTAATAGACATGAGTTCTATCATTGTAATAATATATATATTTTTAGACATAGCTTATAATATTGAAATTGGAATACGTCTTGTTAATTCATAATTTAGTTTAAATGCAGATGAATAGGCATTTTCAGCTTGCATGCAAATTAACCCATTTCAGATGTCGTGAGCATAGAATAGCCAATAAAACTTGACCATTTTAGACCATGTGACTTGAAATGTGTCAATTTGCATAAAAGCTGAAAAGATTTATTGTTTTAGAGATTGAGTTTTATTAATAATAAATTTTAAAGCGTCTTAATTTCGAGTGAAAGACATACACAACTTAAATTCAAGCGAGGAACAGTTGAAAAAGTAATATATCGGTTATTACAGTATTACCTATACAACATTAAACAAAATCCTTGAAATATATTGCGAGAAATACTATACTTAGGTCATTTGCCAAGAAAGATATAGCTTGTGGTGTTTTTGGCATTATTTCTTCCTTTTCATTTTAATCATACGTGCATGGATAGTTTGTTTATTGTATCCCTTGAAGGATCAGAATATTACTATTATTGATTTTGTCTAAAGTAACCGAGCTATAATGATTAAATTCGCGGTCTTTTTAATTAAAAAAGCGAGAAGAATTCCGATATTACTTTCATTTCTACTAATATAGAGGTTTCAATTTCATATATTTAAAGCAATCTTACATACAACAACATGTCAGTCTCGGATGAATTTGCGCTCCATTTCTTGCCAACCTATTTTGTCAGTTTTATCGGGATTCTTTCGAATACAATGTTGTTGGTTGCCCTCGTGAAAGATCCCTTGAAATGCTTCAGAAATTCAGCAACATATCTTATAGGAAACCTTGCGCTATCAGATTTGATCTACAACTGTGTGATTACTCCAAGAAAAGCCTTCGAATTTTTTGTCGTCTTACAATTTTTATCTTTATATTCGTCAATGGGGACAATATTTTCGATTGCAATCGATAGATATCACATGGTCTGCCTTCCATTTAAACATCGTTCCGTCATGAACGGTCGCAAGATGGCTTTCTGGATCGGAATAGTTTGGCTCCTGAGTTCAGTGCATCCGTTAAAGAGAATTGTTGTACGAAGCGAGAGCGATTTCTTAGCTCAACCAATAATCACTTTTACTTTTATCTTACTGTCCGCCATATTGTACGGCAAGACGTATTATACACTAAAGACGCAAGCAAGGGCCATTCTAGGTAAAAAGTCGACATTCTTTCCGCGACAAAGTGATTTTGAAACCAATAAGAGTATTTCAAAAGATGCAGAGAATTGTATCAACCAGGCTGGGCAGTTTAAAAATGAAAGCTCAAGTGAAAATTCGCATTCGTTTGCCAGTGCAGGCTACGGTGAATTTAAGAATTCGCGTGCTGGGAATGAAATTTATCGTGCTGGTAATCTGCATGGGCGTGCTCAAAGCGAAAACGAACGTGCCCACAGTGCGGGTGAATTTGCTGTGAAAAAATACGATATTTCTGAAGATCAAAATAAACGTGATGAAAGTAATTCTAAACGTGCTCATAGTTGTGATCAAAGTGCGAAAAGCCATTATGAACGTGCTGAAGATCACAGTGAATGTGATCAAAACCAAGATGAACGTGCTCACGAGGTACGTGTGCAAACTCGAGGCGAACGTATTCGGAATCTGGTTAATCGTGATAAACGTGATGTAATTCACAAAGAACGTGATCAAAACCAAGATGAACGTGCTCACGATGAACGTGTCCAAACTCAAGACGAACGTGTTCAAAATCAGATTAATCGTGCTCGAAATGAGAACGATAATTGTGATAATCTTACCAGAGACATTACTGGCATCACACAGAACTCCTCATCACAAAATCTCCCCACCAAAAGGCGCCAATATTCCCAAACCATCAACAATGCTAAAGAACAAAAGTTTCTAAACACGATAATCATAATTACATTTCTAGCCGTCATCACTGTCGTACCTGGCTCGATATTCTATCAATTTTGGCATAAATATGCACACGACAATAGGAATGGGCCTGGAATTGTAAAGGCCGTCGTAGAGACGTTATTTTGCTTTAATTTTGCGCTCAATCCTTTCATATATTGTTGGCGCTTGGAGCGATATAGGAGAACGTTTAAGATATTGCTCAAATGTAAATCCTAGTTATATATTGAATGTTCGTATTGAGGGTGTGTGTTAAGCTTATGGTCCAGTTAGGTTCAGGCGACATTTAGCTCAGTGCGCAGAATACCCATCAGAAAGACAACTCCGTTGTTTTTTGCGTAAATGTGATTTGTCATGACTAGTCATGATTTGTCACTCAGCAAGTACCGTAATCACACCCCCCTGTCAATGTTTAAAATGGCCCAATATTCATATATTGGCAGGGGGGTGATTGCCTCTATTTACGGTACTTGCTGAGTGACGAATCATGACGAATCACACGTACGCAAAAACAATGGAGCTGTCCTTCTGATAGGTGTTCTGAGATTCGAGGGAGTGCAGAAGTTATTTCAACCCATTGCTGTGGGACATATAGTCGTTTTTTTCTTGTTGAACTTCGTAACAACAGTTAATGATTCCTAAAATCGCAGTCTAAGCTATTTTAGGTACTCTATTTACATCCATGTTTATCTGAAACTGCAGATATGAACAGAAAATCGAAGCATCGATGTAATTGACCTCGCTGTGACAATTAAAGTGCCTATACCATGGTTGCGAATTTTGAATATATCAATACATTTTGGTATCGAAAAATTTTGTCTTAATGGATTTATTAGGCTTTAAATTTACCGAACATGACGTCAAATCAGGAGTTTCCTGCAACTTAAAAAAAAGAAATCTGATTTGCAATTCCCGATTTGATGTCATGTATAAAGGCTAGTAAATCTATGAAGACAAGATTTTTCAATGACAAAATGTATTGCAAAGTTTTTAAAAATACCTTAAACTTTTGATATGTTCAAAATCCGCACCATGATATAAGCATTTCGCTAGCAATCTCGCCAGCTGGGATTTGTGAATAAATATCACTTTCCTGTCTGTAAAAATATATTTTCTTGAAGATCATTTCTTTAGCACCTCTACCCAAAAATTCGAGTTAAATTTTAGCGGCCGGTTGTATAAAACGGTAGTTCACCTTTAACTATAGTTAGTGACAGAATTAGCAAATCAGAATCGTGTATTTTAGAGGTAACTATGATTTACCTACTCAAAATCTAGTATGAAAGTTTTATACAACCGTCCCAGGTTAATATAACAAATTCTTCCCGTGTCTTCCATGTGAAGTATAAAATCCACTATGAATTTCGTATCGTTTAAGACCCCTTTTACACTTGCGATTTTTGCTGCGATTTTATGCGATTTTCTTGTTTTGATAGATGTGAACGGGTGAATTAGTTACTGATGTTTAAATAAGAGCTTTTATACATCAGAGCATTCGTAACTAGTCACTCGTTCACATCTACCAAAAGAAGAAAATCGCACCTAAAATTACAAGTGTAAACGGGCCTTTATGTTAATCAATAAGTATTTTCATAAACAAGTTCCGATCATAAAAAATACATTTATCAAATGCATTATTGAAATTGGAATGCGGTTTATTAATGTTTTTTTCAAATAAATAGTTGTTCAAGTGATCTAGTGCAAAATATTAAAATATTACATAAAATTTTGAAGTCAACCCGTTAACTTTGCGGAAAATATAACGTAACTCATTTGACAGACGACATTCTGGAGCAAAACTTGTGGTTTTTAGCAATTTTTTTTCAATTTAATCCCGTGTTAGTGATTGTTAATACCTCAATGATCAAAATTTTTATTATTATTAAAAGTTGCTTTAAGTAACGCTCGCAATAGTTAAAACCGCTCTTTTAATAAACAGGAATCCTCGACATGACTTCAATTCATAATAATATCGAGGACTCATTTCATCAAGTCAATCTCACTGCATACAAAATGTCAATCTCGAACTTTTTCGAAATACAGTATTTGCCGATGTATTTTGTCTGTGTGATTGGGATTCTATCAAATGCGATGCTGTTGGTAGCCCTTGTCAAAGATCCTTTAAAATGCTTCAGAAATTCAGCGACATATCTCATCGGAAATTTGGCGTTATCTGATCTGATGTACAACTTTGCGCTAATACCAACTGTGAACCCGAGCTCCACCATAGAAGCTTGTCTCGTTTTTCAGTTTTTATTGCTATATACCTCAACGGGGACCATATTTTCGATAGCGCTCGACCGATATTTCATTGTCTGTCATCCTTTTAAACACCGTTTCTTCATGAGCGGCAACAGAATGGTTGTGTGGATTGGTATGGTGTGGGTTCTCAGTTCAATCCATTCGTTGAAGAGAATTTTCGCACCAAACGATAACGATTTGTTGGCAAAACCAGGCGTCGCTTTATCCTTGATCATCCTGACCGCGCTCTTGTACGGGAAGACATATTACCTGTTGAGAAAGCAAGCGAAATCCATGTTAGAAAAAAGATCTGCACTTCCTTCTCAGCAAAGAAACCTTACCTCCAACCAAAGTTGTATTTCGACCGATACTTTAAAAGTTATTACTATTGCTGATTCAAGACGAACCCTATCTTCGTATTCCGAAAATGAACACATTGCGAATAAGACCTTAGTTCGTGATGCAATTTGTGGTCCGTTTCAAAGTCAAAATTACCGTGCTGTGAATGATAGTTATCGTGCTCGTGATTCGCTTGAGCGTTTTCGGAGCGCAACTGACCGTGCGTGTAGTCTGGATGTATTTGTTGAGGAAAAGAAAGAACGATCTGAATTGGAACTAAATAAACGTGCTGGAACTCATACTGAGCGTGCTCCAAATCGTGATGAACGTGCCGAAGGTCATTATGAGCGTGCTGGAAATGTTCAACGTGCAGAGAGTCTTTCTGAACGTATTCAAGTTTATGACGAACGTGTCCAGTGCTTTCGTGAACGTGTTCAAAACCACGACGAACGTGCTGAAAGTCCAGATAAACGTTCCCAAACTCAAGACGAACGTGTTCGGAATCAGATTACTCGTGCCCGAAGTCGAAATGATGAGCCAGGAGCCTCGACTAGCAGCACGCAAAACCCTTCACCACAAAATCTATCCGTCGAAAAGCGTAAACGTTTCCAAACCATCAACAATGGAAATGAACAAAAGTTTCTAAACACCATAATCATCATAGCGTTTGTGGCCGTGATCACGGTTGCCCCTGGAACCTTGTTCTTACAGATTTGGCATGAGGCTGCACGTGACAGTAACAATGGAAACGGATTTTTGAGCGTCGTCATAGGTTTTATATATTGCCTCAATTTTGCAGTCAATCCCTTTATCTATTGTTGGCGCTTGGGGCGGTATAGAAAAACGTTTAAGATATTGCTTGGATGCAAGTCCTAGTCATATTTAATGATCACATTGAAAATGTTAAAACCACTTGCATTTTTTCAATGGTCTAGTGCGGTTAAGACGTAAGGTCAAGTTTTTTAAAGGCTCATTTATACTTTTTGTTGCGTTTTGTGAACTCGCTGATTTTGCTCTGTCTGTGTGAGAAGCAATGACTTTGTGAAGAAAGAATTAAACAACATTGCCAGATTGTTTTGTTAGTTCGACTAACTTAGACACACTAATTTGGTTAGTAATGATTAGGTTAGCTTTATCAATATCAATTGTAGTGTGATATTTGAAATATGAAATAAACTCTAAGATTTAGCTAAAGCCGGATTAATTTTCAGTCTAAATGTTTCCTTTGCCGTTTTAATTTTTTTGTCGGTTTTCAGATCATTGCTGCATTTTCAGTTGCTTCTCTTAATCCATCTCCATACCTTCTATTGTCTTCAAATATCCATCTCCCACTTTAGTTGTATTCAAATATCCATCTCCACACCTTTAGTTGTCTTCAAATATCCATCTCTACACTTTAGTTGTATTGAAATCTCCATCTCCACACTTTAGTTGTATCCAAATATCCATCTCCACACCTTTAGTTGTATCCAAATATCCATCTCTACACATTTAGTTGTATCCAAATATCAATTCTCACACACTCAAATTGTGTACACATGTCCCTACATCATACCGATTTTACATCATTTTCCCATCCTTTCTTCTATATCTATGTCCTTAACTACCCTGCCTATGTATTCTGTTGTCCTTCGGCTATTTCACGCTTTCATTTCATATTTCAGAGAACGCGCCGAACGAAAAAAGGAAGCCGCTAAAAATAAAGAGACTGTCGATTCTGATGACGAAGGCGTTGTTTTTGGAAATGTAAGTTCAATTTTTACAATAATTCAGAAAATTGAAGCTTTTTTCTTGAAATACGATTTCAAACACTCGTCGGTTACCAAAAAAGTAACACTTTTGAAAACAATTTGTTGTTAAGGTGTTACCAAGGGTAAAGGATCTCTCGAAAACGAAGGGAAACAGAACAAAAAAATTAGAATTTGAGGAAGAGAATGTGGAAAATGTTGACGAAAATGTGGAACAACCTGAGTCACAAAACGTGGGGAGTTGTGCTTTAACTAAACTAACTTTATTTATATTGGATAGCTCTATCAGTTCTAAACTAATAATATCTCTTGTAATCAGGTTAATCAACGGAATACCGAAGATAAAATCGAAGAACCTCTGTCAGAAAATATTCATCAACTAAACGAGAGTGAAAACCAAGCAGTAACTAAGAAGAAACGAAAAAAGAAGAAGAAAGCGAAACGTAATCAAACTGTTCCGAGTGACGATGGAGAGAATAGCGACGCTGGAATCGTTTTGAAACCGATTGCTTGGAGAGGTTCATCGACCCCATTAAACGGTTTCCCTGGCAATGGCAGGAAATTAGAGCCAATCAGGGCTCCGCTACACAACAGTGAGTTTGAAAATTCTTTGATTGTAGGCTTTAAAACTGAATCAAAAAGTGTAGATCCTTTGGGATCATCCTCATGTAGTAACATTGGATCAATAAGAGATGATCCTTACTGGACCTCTAGGAAGAACAGTTTAGAACTGATGGAGATATCCAATATAAAAAGTTAGTTTAGTTTAGGTTTCCTCCTGTAGAAACACTGGATCTATAAGAGATATCCTTACTGGACCTCTAGGAAGAACAGTCTGGAACTCGTAGAGCTATCCAGTATAAATAAAGTTAGTTTAGTTTAGGTTTCCTCCTGTAGTAACACTGGATCAACAAGAGATTATCCTTACTGCACCTCTAGGAAGAACAGTTTACAACTGATAGAGCTATCCAGTATAAATAAAGTTAGTTTAGTGTAGGTGTCCTCCTGTAGTAATACTGAATCAATAAGAGATTATCCTTTCTGGACCTCTTGGAACAACAGTTTAGAACTGATAGAGCTATCCATTATCAATATAGTTAGTTTAGTTTAGGTTTCCTTCTGTAGTAACACCAAATCAATGATGGATAATCTTCCATGTTTGTCTAAAGATTGAGTTAATTTTGTTATAGATCTTTGTTCGCCATCGCCTACGACAAGTCCAGTTTTTTATGAAAATAATCAATTGGAACAGGTAATTGATATAATATTAAACTGTTTTATGAATGTGAAGTGGTGTATAGTGAAGGCCTTGCCAAAACAGGAATTTTAGGATATTGTGGTTTGCTCCACCATTTATAATATACCTTCTCTTGCTTATAGTTCTTTAATGGTCATAGTCGCTCGTTTCGACCACGACCGAATGAAGAAGATTGCGACGTCATGACATGACGTCATCGTTGTCAATATCACGATGACGTCGTCATCCTAAATTATCAAAATAATCCTTTCTCAACACTTAATGTCCCCGCGATGGCAAAATCAGTTTGTCTTTTGAGACGGCTTTGGTGACGTCATTATGGCAAGTTTCCATAGCAACGCGAGCTTTTTCGTCGAATTTAGTGAAATTTTAGAGCTGTGGAAAATCAGAGCAATTTCACATAGGAATTTTATAGTTAGAATCAATGATATTTATTAGGGCAATTCTTTATCTAATTATTTGTAGATATGAAAGTGTATATAATATATATTTGCATGTAATTGGGTTATATACAATATGTGAATATATTGTATTTAAATTGCGTCATGTAGGCAGCCTTAACTCTGTTTTATGAAATACGCAATAAATAAATAATATTTTGATGTGATTTATATTCACATGACAGTCAAATGGTATTTTATTTATTCAATTTAAAAGCATGCACTTTTAGTAAATAAAATGACATTGCAGAACCAAGCGACAATTTTAGAAAAGAAATATTCTGATAAATGCTGTGAACATTGGGAACTTCAGGCTTTATTATAACTTTGAAATAGAGTCAAAGTATCACCTTGAATGTTGTGTCTTGTTTTAAAACACATATCTTCACATTTGCAATTTTTGCTGCGATTTTATATGCGATTTTCTTCTTTTTATGGATGTGAACGAGTAGTTAGTTACGAATGCTAAGATGTATAGAAGGAACACATCTGAACAATTCCTCAACAATTTGAAAAGTTCCTTAAAAAGTTCCTAACTTCCTGTTTAATTGACCAATCAAATTGCTCAAGAATAAAATATAAAATTTGATTGGTCAATGAAAACAGGAAGTTAAGGAACTTTTTAAGGAACTTTTCAAACTTAACTTTTGAACTGGTCAACATTTTTCGGAACACTTCAATTGGCACGACTGTAAAAATTGTTTAATAAGCAGTGTATGCGAACTTGAGTCAACATTCGTAATTTGAAGACGATCACGACCTTGCAAATCTGGGGCCAGTTATTCGAAAAATGGATAACATACTCAACGGATGAATCTTCTATCCAGTTGATAGTCATCCATTGGGTAAAAACGTTTTGCACGAAGCTTGGATGGTGGAGTGGATTGCTATCCAATAGATAAGTTAAAACTTACCAGGAGAAAACAGGATTATCCTGAAATTTCGTACTACAACGTCAGCTATTGCTAAGCATTTATAACATTGAATTCATAATCATCACCAATTCTCGAGTAGTTACTGAATGGAAAAGACTTGAACAAATGATTTGCTCGAACTTTGCACTTCACATAATCAGTAGAGATTTTATAAAACACATTGCAATTTTATTTCATGACCTTGCGACGCTTTGCCTTTCGGTTCCATAGCAAATTTAGGAACACTATTTTAATGTTTTGATTGGCTAATTCCTGGCTAATCTAAGCATAGAACAAAATTCGTAGCCTTGTTGTCTATACTTGTCTATTGCATGAATGAAATTACTTAGATATTAGCAAGTTTCCTTGGAATAGGTTGAATCCTTCTTTGTATATTGACTGATTGATTGATTGATGGACTTTATTTAAACAGGGTAACACATAACAGTTAGCATAGCTACTGACAAACCTGTGACCGCCGCTCGGAACGGAATATGTAGGGAACGTGAAACGCTGCTGCGACAAATATATAAAGATTGGCTGGATTACACTTCGAAAACATTTTTAATAGTGAGTACAATCATGTAAATTAGTTTGTTGAAACACAGTTTTTGTCCTTTTTTATCGTAATTGTTCACATTGTTATCTTGTATCTTTGAATTTATCCACTGGATAGTGGATTTAAACTACATCCAGACCTTGGATAAATTTATCCAGGAGATAGCGATTTTTATCCACTGGATAAAGTTAACTGAGCTTCGTGCAACGCAAATCACACGCTGGATAAAACTTATCGGTTGGATAGCGAGTTATCCACCTTTCGAACAACCGCGGCCCCTGCGTTGTAGTGTTTCATAGTTGTTTTGACCCGACTGTTTACAACATGTATAGCTTCGTTCGCTTCTCTCACGACAAAACTCTGGAGAATTTAGGGTTGCAACTTATGAGAATTTAGCTTTTATAATTTCGTTATTGAAATCAAACTTGAAACACTACCTGACTACCTTGTTGTTATTTTATAAAACGATTATATACCTAATGCTTTATTCCGAGAAATTCCTCTGCAAACGATCCTCACTGACAGCTCTGTCATGCAGGCTCAGGACCATAAATTATTCGTTAATAAATAGCCGAATTCATACTAGAGACGGGAAACTCGTCTAATAACGTCTCTGTTTAGACGCGAAGTTAGACTGGTAAATTCGGACGTGACCCCGTATGTGACCGCATTCACCAGTCTAGCTTCGCGTCTAGGGTAAGTTGGACGGGAATCCCGTCAGGACTAGACTCGTCTTAAATTCGCATTTAGACGGATGAAGGCTTGGCCGTCACAGGAATGCAAGGCGCGGTAAAGAGGATTAGGGACTAGTCTGATGCTCGGCTTTTGTGTTGGTAGCCTGGGAAAGAATAACAATGTGCACGGGTACCAATTTTAGCCGTACCGTACCAATAAATTCAACTTTGTGTAAACAGACCTTAAAATAACAGTCATAACAAAGGGGATATTTTTGGAAACACTGCGGTTTAAAATGTAACCAAAACGTTTGTTTACACTGAATGACCGTACGTCGATCCCCTTTAAAAATTCAAATCAATTCCATGAAAGTTGCTGAAAGAACCTTCAGAATATTTGACATGCTTTTAGTTCGCTCTACTTTTAAATGAATATGAGAGAGGGTTTATGCTCAGAGATTTACAAAACGTGCAAAATTTGAGCAATTTTGAAACAACTATAAACTACTCGTTGTTATAAGAAAAATCGATGCACAGAAGCGACTGTATACGTAAACCACCTTTTATTAAATAAAAGAATCTCGACACTATGAAGGTCAAAACTAAACTAAATCAACAAAACCAGTTCAAGATGACATACTGCTATATTTGCAATTAAACGCGCCGCGCGCCGAATTTTTATCGTTGTTCACCCCTACTCAAGGTTACGTTCTGCCCAACTCAACTTTACGTTTTGATTGAATATGCAGCGATGATTTGAGTGACAGTTTTTAAAATATTTCAACTGTCAACTCATTAGAACTGGCTAATCATTTAGCGCATTTTATTTTTGGCTAATAAAAAGCCTACCGTGGCGAAAGTGTGCAGTGAATCTTATAAATGTAAGAATATACAGCATCTTACGTTGATTAGGAAGTTTACGATCTACGAGCGGTCAGCTCGACGTCGCTAGTCGAATATTTTTCTTAGGACATTGAAATAATCATACAAACGTTTCAATTGTGCTAAGAACCTTCGATATCTAGCTGATATTGCAATTTCATATCAGCTTTAAAACAGTTTCGCTGGTTGTCGCTGCTTTGATGTCATCGAGAAGCCGTGAAAATATCTCATTTGAACGCGTCGTAAGAATGACAACGCTGTCGTGGGACCACAAATTATATATGCATACCTATTGTCTCCGTGTGGAGTTACTTTGTTTTGCAAGCGCGTCGTTGAACTGCGTGCGTCGTGAATGGTAAACTCGCTAATAACCCGTGAATGGTTGCGTTGCATGACAATAGCTCAACCTAACGTTAAGTGTGGGTAAAAGTAACCTTAACTAGAGGTCAAAGTAACATTGATTGATAATAAACAATGATAAAGATTTGACTCCCAGCGCGTTTGATTACAAATAGCGGTATTAAATTGCATATAGTGTCATATTATTACTTTACGTTTGCACAATCGTTGCTGCAGATTATCATAGAATCACAACAGTCAACATAGTTCCTTCGCTTTGCAACGGAAAGGTTTTGAGACATGGCTTCGAGATGGTTAAAAGCCTTAAAAAAATGGCGGAAATATATCATATTGTTGCTAACGCCCATCCTATTGTCCCCTATACCGTTGGCTTTGCAAGACAAGGTATTGTGAAATTAACGAGGTTTTTTTAACCAAAGAAGATTAGCAGCAATCAGACACGCAACACACCTGAAACCCGCGGTTTAATTGCTAGATTGGCCGTTTTCACGCTAGAGACGCATAATGCGTTATGGACACCACGGCCTTATCAACGGGCGCTATTGCTCGGTAAAATGCGAAAACTTTCGCCTGTTTCTGTTGAATTGTGACCACTTGTATCAATTAATTCTGCTTGATTGCTCACAATTCAAAGGGAGCAAGCGAAATATTTCGCATTTCGCCGAGAAATAGCGCTCCCGGTCGTGAAACCAGGCTTAAGGCTAAGCGTCTTCAATATTTTTTGACTGGCGGTTATTCGTCTTCAGTACAAAGACAGACAACAGGGTTAGCTTAAACGGTGATAAGCTCAAAATAGCAAGCAAATCTATCGTTTTATTCAACAAGCAAAACTGAATGGTTTTAACCATAATACAAAGACACTGTTTACAACTACATATTCAGTGTTATGTAATTTTGACTTATCCACCGTTTATAAGCTAAACGAGCTTGATACAACCGGCCCCAGAGGCGTAGTACGTCGAGACGATTAATGTTCAGTTTTTCGTCTTTGAGACGCATAACTAACGATAGTTCTTCTGGACGGATAATGTGTCTGTTGTCCGTCTTTATACTGAAGAAGAATAACAAGTCAAAAAATATTGAAAACGCATTATGCGTCTCTAGTGTGAAAACGGCCAATGGAACACTAATATATTAATTTTCGAAAGCATGGTTGGAAGTCCCAAATTATGTTATGTGTAATCGTTGTGTGTATATAAACTGATCTAGTAGCGATCGACACAACGGGAGAATGTCGTTGTTTAAATAGCAATATTTGAGCTCGCCAAATATCTCTTAGACGAAGCATTTTAAAAACAAGAAAAATTTAGCTAATGTTTCGTTATCGTCATCAAAACATGTTCCGAGCATTTAAATTACATTAAAGTCGAAATGGTGTGTTAATTGTGTGGCATTTCGAAGACTGAGACGCGTTCCTATGTAATATGATCTATATAAATATTTTTTGGGCAAACGAACAGCTAAACAGCCTTGTATGAGGAATATATTTTTTTCGCTTAGATGTGGTTTGCAGTATTCTGCTTGCAATATCACCGTCAGCGGTATAAAGCAAGTATTTTTTATCGTAAATCGCAAATATTGGGTCGAAAAACGTTTTGCATCACAGCAGAGCAGAGCAGGCCTGAGTTGACCTTCTGACATATGCCTATATGTTTAGCGAGGCAGAACAATAGCTGTAGAGATTTGTCGGTCAGAGTTCCAGAAACTGAATAGTCCAGATTTACCGCTTGGTGAGTAATGAGATAGGTTGCGGAGATATTAATCTTTGAATGACGCTTTGAGTGGGAAATTGCTGAAAATCTATCCACGGTATATTTAACCGTGACAACATACTGATATTAGGGACTGCTTCATTGAAAAGAAATGAATTATTAGACACCTATGAGAGTTTTAAACGTGATTTACGTTCTGCTTACAACGGCAAAACGTCGTTTATTACGTCCTGTGTAGAACGTCTGCATTTAAGGACCCAGCGAGCGCTACCTCGAATTAGGCTCTATAGAATTGTCCCTAAACGTAAACACAATGTTTATATGATGTGTCTTATATCTCATTAAATTGTTACAGTTGATAATATACAACAACGTTTAAAGGAGTATTCCAACCACGTCATCGTCATGTTGCCGTCCCATATGCTTAAGCCCCTATTATATTTTGAAGTATTGTTTCTCAATGCATTCCTGTCGGCCAACAAAATATAACTGTTTGTCTAATGTTAACGTAACCCTCGAAGCATTTTTGTATTGCTGGGGCTCGGACGAGCGAAAACCCGCGAGCTAACCAGGGGGTGGAGAACGAGGTACGCCCCCCCCCCGGGAAAATTTTTAAATACAGACCTCTGAAAAGGCCGCAAATGCTCCCCAATTTAAGAATTATTGGGAAATAGTAGAGACTTTTTTGCTTCTATGCTTTTTTTTATTTTGGCCAAATATGTACTGTTTCAACCCATTTGTACATGGGTTGAAACAACCACATGGCGGATTTATTAGGACAGATATCGTTGGAAATTAGAATACTCATTTGTTTGGTTATTAAAATATACGTTGAAGAAGTAAAGATACGACAGTATTCAAGATAAGACACGCTGCATATGCTTGTAAGCAAAAAATACAAATTGCTAAAAATATTGCTTGTGGGTTTGGGCGAACTAAAAAATATTCAAAATTAAAGACTAATTACGGAAAAATTATTGATGGGGCTAAAACCCAGCGAGCCATTCCTTATTTATATTTCCTGGTTTATTATTTGATAATATTCCTGCAAATTGGACTTTAACTGATGCGAAACATTAAACCAGTGGTCGGTTGTTCAAAGCCGGTTACCTTAAGCCTGGGTTAAAGAAAATCTTTACATTCATATTTTCTAATCGTTTGTGGGCAAGATCTTTTTCATAAATATTTTCTGGAGCGATAGAAATCATATTTTCTAAAGTTTTAAAACGAACAGTGGTTCAGAAGCACATAAGAAACTAAAACACTTGATTAAAATTGTTAACCGAAGATTATTTTAGTTAATTAAACAACGTTTACGATACTTGAGTTTGTTCTGCGCATTGCTTTTGCGCATAACAATATGAGCTCATTTGATACCCTGATTTTTCAGAAATTTTCAAATTTTAAGAGTACATGCAGTTTTAAAATGTAAGCAAAGACCTATTTACAAACGGACTTGACTTAAAATTTCCAAATTACATTGCTTGTATAACACTTAGTTATAATTAAAAAGTTCGCATTATTACTAGGCCTAAAACAATTACAAACGACAACTATACCAAACACCGGCTAATTATAGTTTTAAGCGATCTAAAGTGAACTTGCTCTAGTTTATAGTAGTTAGCTCTAATAGCTCTAAACTGTTCTTCTTACACGCCCAGTAAGGATGATCTCTTATTGATCCAATGTTGCTATAGGAGGAAACCTCAACTAAACTAACTTTATGTATACTGGATAGCTCTATCAGTTCTAAATTCTTCCCCCCAGAGAACCAGTATGACTCGATTCTAAATTTTCATTTTCCATTTCAGCGGGCAAGTTGCGCCTACGCAATCATGATCATGGCAATCTACTGGACAACTGAATCATGTTCCTTGGCTGTCACGTCATTGTTGCCATTGCTACTATTCCCCATACTTGGTGTAGTCAAAGCGAAGGAGATCAGCACGCCTTATTTCAGCGACACCAACGTCCTGTTCGTGGGGGGTATGATGCTAGCCGTTGCCGTAGAACAATGGAACTTGCACAAGAGAATCGCTTTGAAAATACTTCTGTTAATTGGAACTCAACCAAGAAGGTTTGATCCACTGTTACTACAAAAGGACACCTAAACTAACTGACCTGTTAATATCGGATACCCCCATTCGTTTTGAACTGTTCTTCTTAGAAGTCCATTAATGATAATCTCCTACTGATCCAGTGGTACAACAGGAGGAAACCTAAGCTAAACTAACTTTATTTACCCGGGAAAGCTGTATCAGTTCTAAACTTTTCTTCCTAAAGGTCCAGTAAGGATCATTTCTTATTGATCCAGTGTTACTACAGGAGGAAACCTAAACTAAACTAACTTTATTTATACTGGATAGCTCTATCAGTTCTGAGCTGTTCTTCCTAGAGGTCCAGTAAGGATCATCTCTGATTGATCTAGTGTTACTACAAGAAGAAGCCTAAACTAAGCTGAACTGAACTAGATTCTTCCCTGCAGGTTGCTACTGGGTTTTATGTGTCCGACTGCTTTCCTTTCGATGTGGGTCAGTAATACCGCCACAACTGCAATGATGGTGCCCATTGCCCAGGCTGTGTTAGGAGAAATCAGGGAAATCAAGAAAATTGACGTTGCTAAGTCTGAGACGGATGGAAAAGGAGAAGTTATTGCAAACTCTGAGCATGTTGAGATGGCTGTGATGGATGAAAAACCTTCTACCACGAGGAGCATTAGCACTGTTAAATTGTCCAGCGCGGTAAGTTGAAACTTGAAATTTATTTGTTTACAGTTTTGACAAACGATTACAGTTTGTATAAGAGATGTATTTTACTGCAGTTTAGAACTGATAGAGCCATCCAGTATAAATAAAGTTAGTTTAGTTTAGGTTTCCTCCTTTAGTAAGACTGGATCAATAAGAGATGATCCTTACTGGACCTCAAGGAAGAACAGTTAAGAACTGGTAGAGCTATCCAGCATAAATGAAGTTAGTTTAGTTTAAGTTTCCTCCTGTAGTAACACTGGATCAATAAAAGATGTTCCTTACTGGACGTCTAGGAAGAACAGTTTAGAACTGATAGAGCTATCCAGTGTAAATAAAGTTAGTTTAGTTTCGGCTTCTTCTTGTAGTAACCCTGGATCAATAAGCTAGGTATCTTGTTTTCATTATGTTTTAGCCGGAGGACCAGGCCTTCAGAGATCTTTGCAAGGCAACAATGCTGTCGATAGCATATGCCGCTAACGTCGGTGGAACAGCAACGCTTACGGGGACTGGTACTAATCTTGTCTTTGTTGGACAGACAGAAGAGTATGTAAATGTAGCTGTTCCATTCACTCTAACAAACGTTAAAGAATTTGGTGAAATATATTTCACCAAAACGGCTTCATATTCCGCCATCTTGGCTTCAAATTTTTCGCAGGTCTAGCGTTCCCGTCTTATTTCAGTTCACTGGGCTTACGTCGTTTTAATTTTTTTTCTTTAGGTTATTTGATGAAAGTGGAGGAATTGGTTTTGGAGATTGGTTCATATTTGCTTTCCCCGAAGCAGTTATCTTGCTGTTAATCAGTTGGCTTTGGTTGCAATGGATGTTCCTTGGATTTAAGTAAGACTTTCTGAAAGTTATGAATTTAAGTTATGAATACACATATTAGGTATGTCATTAATGACATTTTCTATGTCATTACCGTTCGCTCGCTCGCATCTATTAAAAGAAGAAAATCAGCCTGAAGCCTCGGCTATAATGAATTTCATAAACTTTTCTTATTATACCAACTAATGTGAAAAGCATGATGTAACACGAAGTTTGATTGGCTTCGCAAAACTATAACGAGCTAATCAAACTTCGTGTAACATCAGACTTTCCGCGCTTGACGTCATTATAAAAAGGTCTATATAAGTCAAAGAATAACTAGATTAACCCAATTCTACCAATATAATTCGGAATGCAAATCCATACCTCGCCTCATATTTTCCTGTTTGAATAAATTTTTCTAGACATTTCAATAAATTTTCGATAAAATAGTTGAGCTGGACAAGTTTTGTCGAGTTGAAACGTATAAATCTTTAGTTAAGAGTGAAATCTTCATAGATAAAGTTATGTTTTGATCAAGTTTTAAATTTAAAGTTTCAGAACTATTGTTAACTCGTTTCGATCAAGAACTAGTTCGTCATATCATTCAAATGAAGAACAATCTTCCGTTAAAAGAGTCATTCAGCGCGAGTACGATGCCCTGGGACCAATGACGTAAGTTTTAATCACTGATCTATGAATAAACTGGATATAAGAAACTTTACCTTCTGAAACGACCCTAGGAATAACTCACCAGTTAAAATAATATTTGAGCATCTTGTAATTTGTTTATCGATGATTATAATAGAGTTTAAAGACAGCTGCAATTCTCAATACGTAGGCTTCAAACTTGGTGAGAAAAAAGCTTTATAAATACTCAACAAAATATGTCTTGCACAAAAGATTTGAAGCTTGCACACGGCAAAAACGAATCGTCTGAATTAATAACCTTGTGTATACTTTAAGCCTCAAACAAAAAGGCCATTTCACAGCAGTCAGATTTATATGATGAGCTGTCAAAAGATTGCAGAATTCGTATGGTTATTCAATGGTTTTCTCTTTGATAGCGATACAGAAATTAATGTACAACTGCGAACCAGTGATTAGATTTTCGCCTTGAAACTTCATTTAATACCAATTTCTACGGTGGTGTGTGAAAAATGTTCAATATTCTATAGATTTGCAGAGAAAGGTGTTTTGGCTCATTTCGTCATTCTTGCGTTACTCTGGGCAATACGAGATCCGAAGTTTGTTTCTGGATGGAGTATATTGTTTAAAGATGGGTAAGAAAAATGCTTTTTGGTAAATTTTTTCTATTAAGTCGACTCTGTCTAATGCCAGATGATTTTACTCATTAGTGGAAGAGTATTATCAGTTAATGAGTTAACAAAACTATCTGTCACTGTCTCTTGTTAAACCATTAGCCCGCAATGCACCCAGATGTGGCCTATATTTTAGTATTTTACTCTGTCTAATGCCAGATGATTTTACTCATCAGTGGAAGAGTACTGTCAGTTAATAAGTTAACTTTAAACTATCTCTCAGTGTCTCTTGTTAACCCATTAGCCAGGAATGCACACAAATGTGGCCTACTTTAGTATTTTACTTTGTCTAATGCCATGCTGATGATTTTACTCATCAGTTGAAGAGTACTGTCAGTTAATGAGTTACCAAACTGTCTGCTAGTGTCTCTTGTTAACCCATTAGCTTGCAATGCACTCAGATGTGACCTACTCTAGCCAGTATTTTACTCTGTCTAATGCCAGATGATTTTACTCATCAGTGGAAGAGTACTGTCATTTAATGAGTTACCAAACTATCTGTCATTGTCTCTTGTTAACCCATTAACTTGTAATGCACCCAGATGTGGCTTACTTGATTATTTTGCTATGTCTAATGTCAGATGATTTTACTCATCAGTCAGAAGAGTACTGTCAGTTAATCAGTTAACAAAACTATCAGTCAGTGTCTCTTGTTTACCCATTAGCTTGCAATGCACCCAGATGTGGCCTACTTTAGTATTTTACTGTCTAATGCCAGATGATTTTACTCATCAGTGGTGAACCCCGATTGATGAAGCAAGGTTACTGAACTTTTAATTTGACATACCAACCTGTTAGGCCTACCTGTGATTCCAACATGATTACTATAAATCTCGCCTGAAAATATCCTTAATTGATATTTTGGTCAGCTTTTGCCTCTTTCTCCATCTATATGCCTCTTTCATTCATGCCATTTGCCTCTTTCTCCACAAATATATCGATTCGTTTGCTAGAGCAAAAGAGAACCCGACCTTCGTCCGTGCGTGTAACTTACATAGCACAATGATAAATCACTCTTTCAACAACAAAATAGCCTCATGGCAGGTGGGCAAACCTCAAAGCTGTACCTAACTTGGTTACGATAACGAACAATTTTGATCAGTCCAAACAACAGCTGAATTAGGTGAATTGTTGCGTATGTTCCTCATTGGGAAAAATACTGAACGGATTAATAAAAAGTCCCTAAAATATCGAGCTATTTGTTGACTGTCTTGTTCTCGTTTGGTCAAGCAATAATACTTCATAAAACTCTCGCTTGTCAGCTCTCGTGCAACTCTTGTTCTTGTGTGATGAAGCAATGATAGTTGATGAAACTCTCATGTAAACTCTCGCTTGTCAGCTCTCGTGCAACTCTTGTTCTCATTTGATCAAGTCATGATAGTTGATGAAACTCTCATGTAAACTCTCGCTTGTCAACTCTCACGCAACTCTTGTTCTCGTTTGATCAAGCAATGATAGTTGATGAAACTCTCATGTAAACTCCCGCTTGTCAACTCTCATGCAACTCTTGTTCTCGTTTGATCAAGCAATGATAGTTGATGAAACTCTCATGTAAACTCTCGCTTGTCAACTCTCATGCAACTCTTGCTCTCGTTTATTCAAGCAAAGAAAGTCGATAAACCTCTGATGTAAATTCTATCATGTAAAATCTTTCTATGTTTTGTAGATACGTGCGTGACGCCACAGCCAGTATGGCGGTAGCTTTTTCCCTGTTCAACTTTCCCGCCAAAAGACCAAAGCTTTTTGATGATGAAGAAGACGACGAAACTGCTTCCACCAAAGGTTTGTATTCCCCTGTATAGTAAGAAATATCGTTTCCTGAATTGCTGGAATTTTAGAGAAACCTAACGTCAGAGAATATATTAAAAGAACATGCAGTTCCATTTCTGAAAATGTTCCCTAATGAAATCAATTATTTATCCTTCATTGGAAATTTAAAAAGTGTTCTATTGATCGCTTCAGATAAACCATTTCCCACGTTACTCGAATGGAAAGTGGTCACTAAAAAGTTTCCATGGAACATTGTATTGCTTCTGGGTGCAGGCTTTGCCATGGCCAAAGCAGCAAAGGTGCTATTTTGATTTTATTATTAGTTTAGAACCGATGAAGCTATCCAGTATAAATAATGTTAACGTTTCTTCATGTAGTAACACTGGACAAATTAGAGATGATCCTTTATATTGAACCACTAGGAATAACAGTTTAGAACTGATAGAGCTATCCAGTGTAAATAAAGTTAGTTTAGTTTAGGTTTCCTCCTGTAGTAACACTGGATCAATAAGAGATGATCCTTACTGGACCTCTAGGAAGGACAGTTTAGAACTGATAAAGTTATCCAGTATAAATAAAGTTACTTTAGTTTACTGTAGGTTTCCTCCTGTAGTAACAATTGATCAATAAGACATGATCCTTACTGGACCTCTAGGAAGAACAGTTTAGAACTGATAGAGCTATCCAGTATCCATAAAGTCGGTTTAGTTTAGATCTCCGCCTGTGGTATCAATCAGAGACGATTTCTGAAACAGCAATAACTTTCCTCCCTCCTGCACTAACACTTTACTTCATCTAAGGTATCTTGTCTATCGGAGTGGCTTGGTGAACAGATGGCGTCATTGGAATCAATCCCACAATTCTACATCGTCTTGATCATATCGCTAGTGCTGTGTGCATTTACTGAAGTCACCTCTAACGTTGCCACTGCTTCGATCTTTCTTCCTATTGTCGGCTCTGTGGTACGTTTCCTGTCTAAATGTCTGTTAACATCATCCAATTTTGTTGGATCCAATTGACTTCTGATGGACGTTTTATAGTCTGTTGTCTCGTTTTATAAGTTCAATGGCCTAATTCTGGTCCTATGTAAACGTGCAAGTATGTTTCGTGGTCATATACAAACATTAGACAATATAACTATGCTTTGGTTATGATGTCAAATATTTTGACATGGATAACCCGCTGGTTAAATGGTCTAATTCTATTCCTATGTAAAGTTGCAAGCATGTTTGGTTCTCATATGCAAACATTAAACAATATAACCATGCTTTGGTTATGATGTCAAAAACTTTGATATGGATAACGACGCTGGTTAACCATATTGGCGTACTGAACATGGGCAGGGAGGGGGGGGGGCACTTGCCATTCCATAGGTCAGAACTGAATTGGATCCAACAAAATTGGATCGTGTTAACAGACCTTAACTCGTGCTGTAACTTCGACCTTTTTTCAAAGTCTGTTCTTGTTATCTTTATCAGGCAGTGAATATCAAGATCCATCCTTGGTACCTGATGGTCCCTGCTACCCTCTCGTGTTCGTTCGCTTACATGTTGCCAGTGGCAACACCACCCAACGCAATCATATTTTCGTCTGGCTATCTTAAAGTTTTTGACATGGTAAGAGCCGTTAACTATTGTTCACTGAACAACCGCGTTTCAGACATCTGTCTCAGGTAGTTAGGACACAAACCACGACAGTGGGAAACCACGTTTGAGATATCTTTTTCAGGTACTTCCGGCACAAATTACAACAGGTTATTGTAGAATACTACCTACATTGGATCGCTACGTTTGAGATATCTTTTCCATGCAGTTCAGACACAAACCACGACAGCTTATTGTAGAATACTACCTACACTGAACCACCGCGTTTCAGACATCTGTCTCAGGTAGTTAAGACACAAACCATGCACGACAGCTTATTGTAGAATACTACCTACACTGGACCACCACGTTTGATATATCTTTCTCATGTAATTCAGACACAAACCACGACAGCTTATTGTAGAATACAACCTACAGTGAACCACCACGTTTCAGACATCTTTCTCAGGTAGTTAAGACACAAACCACGACAGCTTATTGTAGAATACTACCTACACTGGACCACCACGTTTGAGATATCTTTTTGAGGTAGTTCAGACACAAACCGCGGTAGATTATTGGCTACTACGCGTTTTGATATCTTTCTAAGGAAGAAGGGGGCAGGGCCGTAACTAGAACGATAATTGCAGGGGGGGTGTTTATTCATATAATCAGTTCTGCCCGACGGATTTCTGTTGTAAGTGCAATAGCTCACAGTGGAAATCTGTCGGGCAGAACTGAATATGTGAATAAACACCCCCCCAATTATCGTTCTAGTTACGGCCCTGGAAGGGGGTAATTTCGTTTTAGACCAACCAGCAAGTTTGTTTAAATTTTGAGTAACCCGATCAGAATGCATAAATTTAGACTACTTCCGGTAAAAAGGTATATTTTTTACCATTTTACATGAAGTATTAAAAATGTAAGCATTCTGATTGGGTTTGCTAAAGAATGTAAACAGATATGGCGATTAGTTTGCTATAAGATTAATAGCACACAACACCAGTTTACAATAATATTTTGTGTTTCCCAAAGGCCAAAACTGGTCTTGCAATGAATATCATTGCCATAACAGTAATGCTGGCTTGGACACACAGCGTTGGAGCCGCTTGGTTTGACCTCTCAGAGTTTCCAGCATGGGCCGAAGCTGTTGACAACAATTCAACAAAATGTTGGGTTTAAATGGAAAATCACACACAGAGTACGGTAAGAGCGTGGAGAAGGTGGATTATTTTTAATTTATTGTCACGTAGGTCTTTAGTCGTATCAAATTTGTCCATTGTTTTATTCCAATCGCAATGTAGAAATGCATACTTTTTGCAACTAGAAAACCGTCCACCATCTGAAATTAATCATCGTTTCCCTATTCATTGCGAATGTATCGCTAATATTTGTATACAAAATGGCAGTATTACTATTGCATGCTATTGTCATTGTCTGTTCATATAGATCATTAGCCTTAAGATAAACTTCATGTTGTCATAAATATTATCGTGTATTGTACACATGGTTGTTGATAATATTATCTCAAATATTATCTCAAAAATACAAGCTGAAATATGCTTCTTTATTGCGAAGTTTTTTGAGGTCTTTTTCCGTCATTAACTAGAAAATAGAAGAATTGAGACTTTAGATGTGAATTTGCGCCGATATGCGCAAACAATCTTTAATGTTTTACTCTGTCTAATGCCAGCGAATTTTACTTATCAGTGGAAGAGCACTGTCAGTTAATAAGTTAACAAGGCTATCTGTCAGTGTCTCTTGTTAACCCATTAACTTGCAATGCACCCAAATGTGACTTACGTTAAGATAGACTTACTCGAAGTTTCGCATTTGTTCCTTCGTGGTTATGAATACTACTGCAATCACGAACTTTGGTGAAATGACTTAGGACACTGAAAATCATAAATAAAGTTGGAATATAATCAATTTCTATACGATAAAGCTATTGTAATCGCGCAAATGATAAATCTCATTGCTCAGTATAGGACTCTTCAACAATATATCTTAGGCAATACCTTTTGCTAAATTTAGATTCTGTGATCGCGTTTTTATCGTAGCAAGGTCGACATAAAGCTTTATTTTTGTATTCGTAGTAATCGCCTTTCGGTTCTTCGTTGCAAGAACAACACTAGATAGAAAAATAAGATTCTGTAATTTTTGGGTTTGATCTTTAATTATCAACTATATTCCTCTGTTTATTCTATGACTATCTTTCAGTTCTAAACTGTTCTTCCTAGAGATCCAGTAAGGATCATCTCGTATTGATCTAGTGTTACTACATGAGGAAACCAAATACTAAACTGGATATACAATTCAAAAACTATATTTCCCATGCCTCTACCTTATCTTTCTCCCCATTTCCAGTACATTTCATTCGTATTGACGTCACCAAGGTCTGAGGTCCTCCGAACGACCCAAGATATTTCACTTTTCTGTTTCGAGGCACTTTGTGTTCGTACGTGCCAGGTCTGAATGGAATTTACAAATTTTTTCCCTTTTAAGGAATCGTAAATTTCCTTGTCATATCGACACACTATAGGGCATTTGTTAATTAATTATGATTTTTGGCACTTCACCCGATGTAGGTAAATTCTAGAGTTTAAAGGGTCTTAAATCTTAATTTCGAGTGGAATTATACACACTTCAAATTCAAGCCAGGAAAAGTTAATGGAAAAACGAGTGATGGGAAAGTTTGACTCATTTTTCCATCAACTGTTCCTGGCTTGAATTTAAAGTGTGTATTATTCCTTTTATTAATTAATTAAATATATTTAACCAACCATCAATTAACAGTTTAATTTGGTTTATCGCTGAGACATTTTTCAACCAAAAAACTTACCCTGGCAAAACAGGTTCCCGTGACTAAATTGAGAAAAAAAGAAAAAGTATAACTCAATAATTGAAAAAAATTAAAATGCCTCAAGGGCTTGTTTTGGTCCTTTGGGGAATGTAGGAAAGTCCCTTACGTAGTTTGTTCGAAAGGCGTTTAGCTTAAACGGTGGATAAGCCGACGTTTAAAAATACTCTCGTAGTTCTTTTAAATGACTGAACCCACATAATTTATTAAGTATTAAATATGTATTTGTTCAATAAATACATGAGTTGAATTGAATTTGTTTCCGATTTTCAACCTATCCACCGTTAAGCTAAACGCCTTTTGAACAATCGGCCCCAGTATAGTAAAGAGGTTTCCCTGTTGAATATACCACGTGATCTCGTGGTTTCATACATTAGCCAATCAGCGCTTAGAAGTCATAATTAACAATATACTTCTCGCAGTATTTAATCGAATGTATCACTTTTGTTCTTTTTGAAACTAGTCGAAATTTTGTGATTATGTTTATTTGTAAGAGCTGTAGCTTTGACATAAATTTGAAACAGAAATAATGTATATTTCACGAGATATTAAGTTGTTTTAATCTCGGCTAACTGGCCTCGTATAATATCCTTTTCATACTTACATTTGCGCTAACTGGTGGAAGCCGTGAAGCGCCTGTTTGGAATGGCCGAAAGGCGTGTTTAAATTCTCGTGGTTTGCCGTTGATTTCTTGATGGGTTTGAGGTCCTGGTGTATCAAGCTACAAATAAAATATGCCAATATTACACAACGGAAAATGGACATTGTAATAACAAAGAAACATTTCTTTTCGCTTTAAAATTCGGGAGAAAAGTTTCCAAAATATCATCATTGTTATATAAATGCTTTAACTTTCATACATTCGTGTTTACATGCTGTGAAAACAATCGCTTTCAAAAGAAATCACTCGAGGATACGACAATTGAAATATATGCAAGCCACAATAAAGCCTTTATCTACGGCTATGAAAATAGAATGATTTGTCATAAGATCCCTGCAAGATCTTGTCATAAGATCTTGCCGTCAAGATCTTATTAAAATCATGCAAGATTTTGCCATATAATTGTGTATTATTTCAATGAATACAAATGTGAAATGGTAGCGTTTGTATATTCAAACGGTTCAAAATTATATCAATACTTTCTGAACTGTTTTTTTTTGAAAATCTTTCAAAGCTTAGCATTCGGCGAAATGCTTTCATTGTGCGTGTTGGTCAAAAACATTAAAACAACGAAGCTTTCTTTTGCGGGAAATCGACTACAAATTTGAGCAAATCAGGATGGATTTTGTTCCCAAAGCAACCAATAAGAGAGCGAGGTTATGCTGATGTGGTGATGGAGCCTCGAGGCGAATTCGAGAATCACAAGAAGTGATGGTTGGAAATTTGGAATATAACTTGTCGAAATAGTTGTCTTAAAATTCGAATCTACCGGAACAAGATTTTGACGAAACTATAGAAGAATATCATAGGAGGCTGTAGAATGCAATTACAGGTAATTTCAAGTAAAGATATTTCTATAAATGCCTCTATATTTGCCGATATTGAATTTGACAATGCTAGTCCATAGTCATATAAACAGTCTTCAAAATAACTATTGCTGATCGCTGCCTTAAATGAGGATTGGTTTTGCCCGCTTTTCCCCCTTAAATCTCCTTAATTTTTGTTCAGTTTTGCCGGTCAAAGTTCCGTCAAAGCTATGCGCGTATTTTCAGTGTTTTAGAACTTGTATTTTTTGGGCAAACGCGAAATTTTTAGCACGATGTATTTATAATTATTATTACCACGAGTCATTTATTTATATACTGCAAGTTTCGTTCGCTCTGATTGAATTTTTTCTAGTTCAAACAAGCATGTATTAATAAAGATTTTTGAGATTATTGCTTGCCCCTAAAGCATGGTTACCGGCCGGTGGTTATTGCATGGTTAAGTTATTTGTGTAAGCTGGCCTTTAAAACAAAAATAGTAGAGTTTCTATGAACTCTGGTGTCAAAGTAATGGTTCTGATGCGGGAAGGCATTAGATAATCGAGGTTAACTTGACTTTTCAGTGTACAAATTTTAATCTGGGCAGTTAGATCGCACTTCTGTTAAATTTGTGCTCTCAAAATTGCATATTCTGCATTAAAAATGTTTAAAGAACCATAATTGCTTCTATTTACAAGCATTTATCGATTATTATAGATGAAATTTCAGCCTTTGTCATGTGAAATTTCAAAAATAATTGCCTTCAGTCAATGCCAGTCGTTAAAATATTGGTTTTGGGGCATATGAAATCTATTTACTTACATGTAATGGTTTCTGAAATCTTTCGGCTGTCCTTGCACCAAGTGAATAGCCTTTCTTACATCCCGGACGGTGTTCTAATTCATATGTTAAGGTGCTAACCTATGAAGCAACATTGCAAAAAGAAATGGTAATATGTGAGATGTACTATAGACCTGTATAGTTGATGATCAGTTCATGGTCACACCTATGGGGTGTGGGCCCTGGGGTATAGGAAGTGAGGCATAATTGCCCCATCCACAATTACTCAGAGTACTGGATTAATTATAAATCCTACAAATATATATATATAATATATTCTGCAAAATTCACAAATGTGTGGACATTAGTTTCTCATGAGCATATATGTGAATTGTCTTTCATTCACTGAAGACTTGGATGCATATGAAAATAGGGATATCTATGGTGGTACCAAACTGTTTTATTAATGAAGTCCTAACGAGCTTTATGCAAAGTCTGATTTATAATACTTACCTCATCATTGTTGTAACGACCTGGTCCAAGGTTCGGTGTCCTGGGTATTCGCAGCTGATTACCAAATCTTGTTGGTGGGACTTTTAGTGGTAGAAGCTCACGATCTAGCGTTGTGCCAAATGCTATTGAGGATTTTCCTTTAAAGAAATTAAGAGTATTGATAAAAGTCAACATTATACAACAACTATTAGAATGTCAGGATTCTACTGGATAGCTCTATCAGTTCTAAACTGTTCTTCCTAGAGATCAAGTAAGGATCATCTCTTATTGATCCAGTGTTACTACAGGAGGAAACCTAAATTAAACTAACTTTATTTATACTGGATAGCTCCATCAATTCTAAACTGTTCTTCCTAGAGGTCCAGTAAGGATCATCTCTTATTGATCCAGTGTTACTACAGGAGGAAATCTAAACTAAACTAACTTTATTTATACTCGATAGCTCTATCAGTTGATTCAGTTCCAAAATGTTCTGGTTTCGTAGAAAGTTCAAGACCGATATATTGTTTCAACCATAGCATTACTTTATATTAGTCTTATTAGAGATTGTTCCTACCTTCCACAGCACGGGTCATTGCTCACAGTAACTCACGACAAAATCATACTTCACGGCAAAAACCAACAGTTCATTTTTAATAATTTTACATTATAACTTTCTTCTTTATGTATAAATTGTGACAACCGCGATTGTTTTTGTTGACGTTTTGTTGCTATAACAACGAAGGTACGGCGAGTTACGAAGTCGATTTGCGAACGCCCGAAGATATTCCCGCGGGTTTCGTGGATTTCGCGTGTAAGCAATATGAGCGAATCTTCCAGAGATTTAAAAGCAAAGTCGGTGAACTTTTTCGATTTTCAAACATTGCAGAAAGGACCTTTGCAAGTAGAGATCATCTCTTTACAAAGATTAAGGTAAATATTACACTCAACTATCTGGAATATATCCTAAATATTCATTTTAAGCGGACTTTGTGATCGAGAATAAAATAAATATGCAAGATTGATGCATGAATCGTGCTAAACAATTCCTAAATGCAAGGCTTACACGAATCTAAAAAGTTACCAGCATATTTTCGACTGGTCGCCTTAATTGTAGTAGCTGATGGTCTAATTTATAACTTGTCTATTAAAATGAGACTAAATCTTTATTCAATTTGTTCAAATATTAGGCTTATAACACACATGAAGTCTGGACAATACTTTGTTACATATTGCTGTACTAAGTCACTATGTTTAACGTTTTATTTCAGCTCTTTTGCCTTAGTGAATTGATATCAGGACCTGCATTGATAGCAATTGAATAACTGAAGCAGCTATCCTGACAAAATATGTTCTTATATAAATAAATAAGACAGTGGACTATGTGAATTTAATCTATTTAGTTTTTAACTAATATTTGATTTTCATTTCACTATCCAGCATTGATGGGTGGAGCGAGGTCAGCACTGAGACAAAGTCTGCGTGGCCCTGTGCAGATGCAAGGCAGATTGATAAAGTTTTGGATGGCCAACCTTCGCTGGCACCAAGACATGAAACAACAAAAGACCTGCTTGATAGTGCAAAACAAGGTAAGGATTGTTAGACTTCATTAAAAGTTAAATATGCCCTGATGCCCCATTTTGTCATTGTATAATGAATAAACCTTTTATCATGTTCAATGATTTTACATGTGCATTAGTGGAAGAGTAGGTACTGTCAGTTAATGAGTTAAAAAAACTATCTGTCAGTGTCTCTTGTTAACCCATTAGCTTGCAATGCACCCAGATGTGGCCTACTTTAGTTTTTTATTCTGTCTAATGCCAGATGATTTTATTCATCAGTGGAAGATTATTGTCAGTTAATGAGTTAACAAAACTATCTGTCAGTGTCTCTTGTCAACCCATTAGCTTCCAATGCACTCAGATGTGGCCTACTTTAGTTTTTTATTCTGTCTAATGTCAAATGATTTTACTCATCAGTGGAAGAGTATTGTCAGTTAATGAGTTAACAAAACTATCTGTCAGTGTCTCTTTTTAACCCATTAATTAGCTTGCAATGCACCTAGATGTGACCTACTTTAGTATTTTACTCTGTCTAATGTCAGATGATTTTACTCATCAGTGGAAGAGTTCTGTCAATTAATGAGATCTGTCAGTGTCTCTTATATGTTAACCCATTAGCTTTCTATACACACAGATGTGACCTACTTTTGTATTTTACTATGTCTAATGCCAGATGATTTTACTCATCAGTAGAAGAGAACTGTCAGTTAATGTGTGAAAACTATCTATCTATAAAATTTAGAAAACCAAGCCAAATTTGATTTACATAACAAGAGAAGTGAAAGAATATCTACAGCTCTTGAAACAAATCCGAGTGGACTCTGTTGACGTTCCCGACAAGGTTAGCATGTTTAACTTGTTTATTTCTGCTTTGGCTATGATTGTAAAAATGTACTCACTTTTCCCATCATAATTTTCGAAGAACAACCCTCAGCCTGCAGAGGAATCCTTGTCACCAACAGCAGCTACAACAAGGCTTAGCACTGAGGAATTGACATTGTTGCTTCAAGAGCGAATGAAACCCCAGATGAATGGACAGCAGAGAAAATTGCATCACATTTTAAACTGTCCACGAATTCAGTTGAAAACTTGTTGAAACACTACAATGATTTTAATATTCATGTTGCCCCAAAAATTCCTGAGCCTTTGGAAGAGATTACACATTGAATATTAGCTTTTTAAGAATGCTTGTATACTGGTGTAAAGTAGTATGTATCCTATCAGTTCTAAACTGTTCCTCCTAGAGGTTGAGTCAGGATCATCTCTTATTGATCCTGTGTTACTGCAGCTAGGTGGAAACCTAAACTAAATTAAACTAAATTAACTCTATTTCTACTGGATAGTTCTGTAACTTTTCTTCCTAGAGGTCCAGTAAGGATAATCTCTTATTGATCCAGTGTTATTTACTACAGGTGGAAACCTAAACTGAATATATATATATATATATATATATATATATATATATATATATATATATATATATATATATATATATAACAAATGCTTTTTATCTGTTGTAGATTGAAGAGTGCTCAACACAATTTTTGTAGAGCGATATTTATTTATTTAATCTTAAAACAGTATTAGCTGCTACTTAAAGTTTCATGCTTCTTGCAATCATCAGGCAACTGTTCACAGTTCAGTTTGATGACGCTACTCAGTTAAAAAACCGTTAGTGAGTAGCGTCACCAAACTGAACTGAACTATGAACAGTTGCCTGATGATTGCAAGAAGCATGAAACTTTAAGTAGCAGCTAATACTGTTTTAAGATTAAATAAATATATATTATATATATATATATATTATATATATATATATATTATATATATATATAGATATAGATATAGATATATATATATATATATATATATTATATTATATTATATATATATATATATATATATATTATATATAATATATATATATATAGATATATTGGTGAAATTCATGAATAATTAATAAGTCTAACTTGCAATCATTGCGCAGTATTTTGGTCACATGTATACATCTGTAATTCTCCGTAAAGGTCTCATGAATTGCTAATTAATATATTAACTTTGATACAACCAATCTTAATTAGTATTCATAACTTTGTTACACAGATGCCCTAATATGCATTAATATGCATCAGGCTGGCTACGCCTCAGGGCCTGAGCTAAGGTTTTATAGTTGACCATTAAACTATATCCTAATTTTTCTTTTGTATAATTTATTCTCTAGTTTTGCTGGCCCATTGCGCGCTATTTACTGAAATTTCTACATCAGCAAATGACAGAGCCCAACTGCTGAAATACAGGTAATTTCATCGAAATTTGCCTGGATTTTGTCCCTTACTTTCAAGTCACACACTTTTTTTGGATTCAAATAGTTTTAAAAATATTTTTAAGTGTTTTTTAAGCCTGTTTCTTTTCCTTTTTATGTTATAGTCAGATAGCTTCAATCATGGGATCTTCTGCCGTATTTGTTGCCGATTATGTGTCAGATAGTGTGAGTAGCTTTTTACCTCAGTAAAATCATCTGACATTAGACAGAGTAAAATACTGAAGTAGGTCATATCTGGGTGCATTGCAAGCTAATCAGTTAACCTTGATTTTTACGTTGTTCACAAAATTCAACACTGACTGGTTTTCAAACCTTTATATAGCAAAATAATTTTGTCGATTTTCAAATACTTTGCGTCATTGTGGCAATAATAAGTTGCGTGGCCATGTGTTATGCTGGGCTCAATGTGAAAGTGGACAAAAAATATGAACCAGTTATGGACGAGAAAGGTATAGGGTCAGCTTGTTTCTTATTTTTTGTGTTACCAACGGTCAGAACTTCAACAATTTTTTTCCCAGGGGACAAAAAAAATGGGCCTACATCAGTGTCTTGGTGGTCACTAACCTTTCAAATATGCATTACAGAAGAATTTCGGTGAGTAATTTTTGTCTTAAAAAACCATGACCAGCCGACAATTTTAAAAAGTAAAGTAAAAAGCAAATTCCGAACAAACAAGACATCTTGAGAATCAAAATATAATTCAAACAAGACACAGATTGAGACTGTAAATTTTCGACTTTATTATAAAGTCATCTTCAGACAGAATGAAATACAATACTTTACAACGCATATATATACAACACAGAGAGAGAGCGCACGTGTCAATCCAGCATGTAGGCGGAAGGCCGGTAAACCAAGCAGAGCGAAACATGATAAGGTTGTGAATAAAACTAAATATGTATGCTATATTTACAACAATATGTTTGATAGATTAATTTATATATAAGGAACGAAAGACCCGACAAATAAAATAGAGAGATTAAGTGAACAGTTGTAGTTCTTTGCTGGCTTTAAGTCCAGTGTTAAGGAAAGGTTTGTTGTGTTTGATTAAGAGTGCTTCAAGAAAAGCGAGAATATGATAGTTATTCGATTTAGTTATGTGTAGAATTCTATAGTTATTGAAAACTAAGTTCTCAATAGGAAAAGGGTTATTCAAAGATAATGGTATATCGTTGAGTAGTGAGAACTGGTTTTGTAGTGTGGCTAAGAATTGAGCATGCTCACACTCAGAGAAATGTTGGCCTACTGCACTAGAGGAGAGCCTAGTAGAATGCTCTTTTAAACGTGCCGATATAGGTTTTCCAGCAGCCAGGGCAAGCGACTTCGTATACTAAATTGCTACGAGATAAAGAAGGAAGTTTGTCTTTGTTAGAAACAAAATAAGACAACCTTTTAGTGTCGTAAATAGTGACGAATTTCACCGGTTTGGAAAGAAATCTTTGTATTTTATTGAGACAGGATTTAAGCAGAAAATCGCCCCGATTTCCGAGATAAGGTATACGGATCCAGATTTTGGGCAATAGATTATCATCCGCTTCATGAATAACCGTATTGACAACTGGAGTGGAATTTAGAAAATACTTAGTTTTGAGTTTATTTAGCGTAGAGTATATAACATTATTAGGATAACCATTCCAAGACATGAAAGATTTGATTATTTTAATTTGACTATTGAAAAGCTTTTCCGAACTACAAATTTTAAAAGCACGGTGGTAAAGGGATTTCACCCAAGCTGTTTTGCGGTAGAATGGCTCGAAACTAGAAAAATGCGAGTACTGACCAGTGTGAGTGTCTTTACGATAAACGTCAGTACCATCGACCGTGATTTTTATATCTAAAAAATGTGCGATACCATCGGGAAAAGTGTCAACTGTGAAATTGAGGTTAGGATCGAAACTATTAAACTTTGTTAAAACACCGGAAATATCGGAAGGCTTAATTAAGACAAGCGTATCATCAACATAACGTTTGTAAAATTTTATAGTGTTATCAGCAATTAATTCAGAAACTATTAATCTCTCAAACTCCGTAAGTATGATATTAGCTAAGACAGGTCCTAGTGATGAGCCCATAGAAACGCCGTCTTTTTGAACATAAATTTGGTCATCAAAGGAGAAGGCTGTTTTGTTGCAACAATCCAAAATGAGTTTTTTTAAAGTGCGTTTTTGCATAGTGGTTACTAACAATTTATCTTTGTAAATTCGATCTAGAATGATGTTGACTGTGCGGGAAAGAGGAACATTAGTAAACAAAGACAACATGAAAAGAAACAAGTTGATAGCCATCTTGAAACAAATGTTTAGGGATGTTGTTAATAGCATTCACCGCATCAAATGAATCAGAGAGAGAATAAGAGTTTAAAGTGAGAGGATTTAGTAGAGACGGTAAGAATTTGCCAACGTTATAGTGAAGAGTGTTGGTAGTGTCAAAGCATGCGCTTTGCCAAAATGTGTTGTGATGGGTTTGAGAGTATCGAGTTGTTCATCAGTGATTTCACCACGCTTATTAAGTTTAAGTAGGTAGCTTTGTAAAGAATGAAGCCTAGTTAGTGTCGGGTCAGTATCTAATTTCTTAAACTTAGACGAATCAGAAAAAAGGGATTTGACAGAAGATACACAGAGAGAGAGAGCGCACGTGTCAATCCAGCATGTAGGCGGAAGGCCGGTAAACCAAGCAGAGCGAAACATGATAAGGTTGTGAATAAAACTAAATATGTATGCTATATTTACAACAATATGTTAGATTAATTTAAGGAAAGAAAGACCCGACAAATAAAATAGAGAGATTAAGTGAACAGTTGTAGTTCTTTGCTGGCTTTAAGTCCAGTGTTAAAGAAAGGTTTGTTGTGTTTGATTAAGAGTGCTTCAAGAAAGGCGAGAATATGATAGTTATTCGATTTAGTTATGTGTAGAATTCTATAGTTATTGAAAACTAAGTTCTCAATAGGAGAAGGGTTATTCAAAGATAATGGTATATCGTTGAGTCGTGAGAACTGGTTTTGTAGTGTGGCTAAGAATTGAGCATGCTCACACTCATTTCCTCTGCAATGTTTTTATTTTCTCTTGCAGTTTGCTTTGTGATAATGAATTTTGTACAGGTGTGTACATGAGCAGACTATGATTGATAGGGATATCCAGTATAAATAAAGTTAGTTTAGTTTAGGTTTCCTCCTGTAGTAACACTGGGTCAATAAGAGATGATGATTACTGGACCTCTATGAAGAACATTTTAAAACTGATAGAGCTATGCTGTATAAATAAAAATAGTTTAGTTTAGGTTTCCTCCTGCAGTGATACTGGATCAATAAGAGGTGATCCTACTGGACCTCTAGGAAGAACAGTTTGGAACTGATAGAGCTATCCAGTATAAATAAAGTTAGTTTACTTTAGGTTTACTCCTGTAGTAACACTGGATCAATAAGAGATGATGATTACTGGACCTCTAGGAAGAACAGTTTAGAACTGATAGAGTTACCAAGTAAAATAAATTAGTTTAGTGTAGATTTTCTCCTGTAGTAACACTGGATCAATAAGAGATGACCCTTACTGTAACCTCTAGGAAGAACAGTTTGGAACTTTTAGAGCTATCCAGTATAAATAAAGTTAGTTTACTCTAGGTTTCCTCCTGTAGTAACACTGGATCAATAAGACATGCTCTTACTGGACCTCTAGGAAGAACGGTTTAGAACTGATAGATCTATCCAGAATAAATAAAGTTAGTTTAGTTTAGGTTTCCCCTTGTAAGAACACTGGATAAATAAGAGATGATCCTTACTGGACCTCTAGGAAGAACAGTTTAAAACTGATAGAGCTATCCAGTATAAACAAAGTTAGTTTAGTTTAGGTTTCCTCCTGTAGTAACACTGGATCAATAAGAGATGACCCTTACTGAACCTCTAGGAAGAACAGTTTACAACTGATAGAGCTATCCAGTATAAATAAAGTTAGTTTAGTTTAGGTTTCCTCCTGTAGTAACACTGGATCAATAAGAGATGATCCTTACTGGACCTCTAGGAAGAACAGTTTAGAACTGATAGAGCTGTCCAGTATAAATAAAGTTAGTTTAGTTTAGGTTTCCTCCTGTAGTAACACTGGATCATAAAGAGATGACCCTTACTTAACCTCTAGGAAGAACAGTTTAGAACTGATAGATCTATCCAGAATAAATAAAGTTAGTTTAGTTTAGGTTTCCTCCTGTAGTAACACTGGATCAATAAGAGATGATCCTTACTGGACCTCTAGGAAAACAGTTTAGAACTGATAGAGCCAGTATAAATAAAGTTAGTTTAGTTTAGGTTTCCTCCTGTAGTAACACTGGATCATAAGAGATGACCCTTACTAACCTCTAGGAAGAACAGTTTAGAACTGATAGATCTATCCAGTATAAATAAAGTTGGTTTAGTTTAGGTTTCCTGCTGTAGTAACACTGGATCAATAAGAGATGATCCTTACTGGACCTCTAGGAAGAACAGTTTAGAACTGATAGAGCTATCCAGTATAAATAAAGTTAGTTTAGTTTAGGTTTCCTCCTGTAGTAACACTCGATCAATAAGAGATGACCCTTACTGAACCTCTAGGAAGAACAGTTTAGAACTGATAGATCTATCCAGTATAAATAAAGTTAGTTTAGTTTAGGTTTCCTCCTGTAGTAACACTGGATCAATAAGAGATGATCCTTACTTAACCTCTAGGAAGAACAGTTTAGAACTGATAGAGCTGTCCAGTATAAATAAAGTTAGTTTAGTTTAGGTTTCCTCCTGTAGTAACACTGGATCAATAAGAGATGACCCTACTGAACCTCTAGGAAGAACAGTTAAGAACTGATAGATCTATCCAGTATAAATAAAGTTGGTTTCGTTTATGTTTCCTGCTGTAGTAACACTGGATCAATAAGAGATGATCCTTACTGGACCTCTAGGAAGAACAGTTTAGAACCGATAGAGCTGTCCAGTATAAATAAAGTTAGTTTAGTTTAGGTTCTTCCTGTAGTAACACTGGATCAATAGGAGATGACTCTTACTAAACCTCTAGGAAGAACAGTTTAGAACTGATAGATCTATCCAGTATAAATAAAATTAGTTTACTTTAGGTTTCCTGCTGTAGTAACCCTGGATCAATAAGAGATGACCTTTACTGAACCTCTAGGAAGAACAGTTTACAACTGATAGAGCTATCCAGTATAAATAAAGTTGGTTTAGTTTAGGTTTCCTGCTGTAGTAACACTGGATCAATAAGAGATGATCCTTACTGCACCTCTAGGAAGAACAGTTTAGAACTGATAGAGCTGTCCAGTATAAATAAAGTTAGTTTAGTTTAGGTTTCCTCCTGTAGTAACACTGGATCAATAAGAGATGACCCTTACTGAACCTCTAGGAAGAACAGTTTAGAACTGATAGATCTATGCAGTGCAAATAAAGTTAGTTTAGTTTAGGTTTCCTCCTGTAGTAATACTGGATCAATAACAGATGACCCTTACTGAACCTCTAGGAAGAGCAGTTTAGAACTGATAGACCTATCCAGTATAAATAAAGTTAGTTTAGTTTAGGTTCCTCCTGTGGTAAGACTGGATCAAAAAGAGATGATCCTTACTGGATCTTTAGGAGGAAC